TGCCCGGGGGCAGGGACACACAAGCGGACAGGACAGACAGCAGCCTCACTTTCCGAGCGTGCCCAGCTTGGGTCTTTTGCGGATGGTGACACGCCTTCTGTGGTTCCTGCTGGGTTTTCTGTCATTCCGTCATCCCTTCATCCCAGCCGAATGTGAATGAGGAAGAAATCGCATGGCCGCAGCCCCGCGCCCTGCCCGTCCTGGCCGGCCTCGGCCTCTACCGCTGGCGGGTGGGCTGGGCTTCGGGAGGCCTGTGCTCTTCCTCAGCCCCCTCTGCCAGCTGCTCTCACGGGCCAGGCTGAGAGGCAGGGAGCCCCGTGGGCATCCATCGGAGTGCACGGGTGAGGGCTGGCTGTCCAGGAGGAACCCTAGGAAGTTTGGGAGCCAGAGGGCCCGGTCCTAGAAGAGGCCTCTGTGAGCAGTGGCCCTGGGCACGTCCCCAGCTGCCCAGCCTCGCCGAGGACGAGGAGACTAAAGACCCCCGCCTAAGTCAGGAGAATGGATATAAAACAGACCGGCCGGGGGAGGGGGGGGGGGGCCCACCATGCCGCCCTGCGGCAGGGCCTCACACGGCCACCGGGAGGCACTGTCGGCCTCCTCCTGCAGGTCCCGGCGGCTGCACAGGGTCCCGACAGCCCCTGGGCTCCGCCTCCCCTCCCCCAGCCCTGCTCCGGCCACCCCAGGGTGGAGCCCAGGTACCCAGGGTGCACAGGGGTCCCAGCTAGACATCCCCCCCATGGAGATTCTAGAGAGAGGCATGGGAACCCGTGCCCGCCCCAGCATGCCGGGCGGCTTCCTCCAGCTCTGCAGTCGCTAAGTACAGCGCCATTCTGCTCTCCCTGCTGTCCTCACATCTGCTGTCCTGTGTGCTGTCCTGTGTGCTGTCCCCTCCCCCTCCCCTCCCCCTTCCCCTCATCTTCCCCTGCCCCTTCCCCTCATCTTCCCCTGCTCCCATTCCTTCTCCCACCCCTGCCCCTCCCCTCCCCCTCCCCTCCCCCTCCCCTCCCCCTTCCCCTCATCTTCCCCTGCTCCCATTCCTTCTCCCACCCCTGCCCCTCCCCTCCCCCTCCCCTCCCCCTTCCCCTCATCTTCCCCTGCTCCCATTCCTTCTCCCACCCCTGCCCCTCCCCTCCCCCTCTCCTCCCCCTCCCCTCCCCCTCCCCTCCCCCTTCCCCTCATCTTCCCCTGCTCCCATTCCTTCTCCCACCCCTGCCCCTCCCCTCCCCCTCCCCTCCCCCTCCCCTCTTCTTCCCCTGCTCCCATTCCTTCTCCCTCCCCTGCCCCTCCCCTCCCCCTCCCCTCCCCTTCCCCTCTTCTTCCCCTGCTCCCATTCCTTCTCCCACCCCTGCCCCTCCCCTCCCCCTCCCCTCCCCCTTCCCCTCTTCTTCCCCTGCTCCCATTCCTTCTCCCTCCCCTGCCCCTCCCCTCCCCCTCCCCTCCCCCTTCCCCTCATCTTCCCCTGCTCCCATTCCTTCTCCCACCCCTGCCCCTCCCCTCCCCCTCCCCTCCCCCTCCCCTCCCCCTTCCCCTCATCTTCCCCTGCTCCCATTCCTTCTCCCTCCCCTGCCCCTCCCCTCCCCCTCCCTGCTCCCCTTCCCCTCTTCTTCCCCTGCTCCCATTCCTTCTCCCACCCCTGCCCCTCCCCTCCCCCTCCCCTTCCCCTTCCCCTCTTCTTCCCCTGCTCCCATTCCTTCTCCCACCCCTGCCCCTCCCCTCCCCCTCCCCTCCCCCTTCCCCTCTTCTTCCCCTGCTCCCATTCCTTCTCCCACCCCTGCCCCTCCCCTCCCCCTCCCCTCCCCCTTCCCCTCTTCTTCCCCTGCTCCCATTCCTTCTCCCACCCCTGCCCCTCCCCTCCCCCTCCCCTCCCCTTCCCCTCTTCTTCCCCTGCTCCCATTCCTTCTCCCACCCCTGCCCCTCCCCTCCCCCTCCCCTCCCCCTTCCCCTCTTCTTCCCCTGCTCCCATTCCTTCTCCCTCCCCTGCCCCTCCCTCCCCCTCCCCTCCCCCTTCCCCTCATCTTCCCCTGCTCCCATTCCTTCTCCCTCCCCTGCCCCTCCCTCCCCCTCCCCTCCCCCTCCCCTCTTCTTCCCCTGCTCCCATTCCTTCTCCCACCCCTGCCCCTCCCTCCCCCTCCCCTCCCCCTCCCCTCTTCTTCCCCTGCTCCCATTCCTTCTCCCACCCCTGCCCCTCCCCTCCCCCTCCCCTCCCCTTCCCCTCTTCTTCCCCTGCTCCCATTCCTTCTCCCACCCCTGCCCCTCCCCTCCCCCTCCCCTCCCCCTTCCCCTCTTCTTCCCCTGCTCCCATTCCTTCTCCCTCCCCTGCCCCTCCCTCCCCCTCCCCTCCCCCTTCCCCTCATCTTCCCCTGCTCCCATTCCTTCTCCCACCCCTGCCCCTCCCCTCCCCCTCCCCTCCCCCTTCCCCTCATCTTCCCCTGCTCCCATTCCTTCTCCCACCCCTGCCACTCCCCTCCCCCTCCCCTCCCCCTTCCCCTCATCTTCCCCTGCTCCCATTCCTTCTCCCTCCCCTGCCCCTCCCCTCCCCCTCCCTGCTCCCCTTCCCCTCTTCTTCCCCTGCTCCCATTCCTTCTCCCTCCCCTGCCCCTCCCTCCCCCTCCCCTCCCCCTTCCCCTCATCTTCCCCTGCTCCCATTCCTTCTCCCACCCCTGCCCCTCCCCTCCCCCTCCCCTCCCCCTTCCCCTCATCTTCCCCTGCTCCCATTCCTTCTCCCACCCCTGCCCCTCCCCTCCCCCTCCCCTCCCCCTCCCCTCCCCCTTCCCCTCATCTTCCCCTGCTCCCATTCCTTCTCCCTCCCCTGCCCCTCCCCTCCCCCTCCCTGCTCCCCTTCCCCTCTTCTTCCCCTGCTCCCATTCCTTCTCCCACCCCTGCCCATCCCCTCCCCCTCCCCTCCCCCTTCCCCTCTTCTTCCCCTGCTCCCATTCCTTCTCCCTCCCCTGCCCCTCCCCTCCCCCTCCCTGCTCCCCTTCCCCTCTTCTTCCCCTGCTCCCATTCCTTCTCCCTCCCCTGCCCCTCCCTCCCCCTCCCCTCCCCCTTCCCCTCATCTTCCCCTGCTCCCATTCCTTCTCCCACCCCTGCCCCTCCCCTCCCCCTCCCCTCCCCCTTCCCCTCATCTTCCCCTGCTCCCATTCCTTCTCCCACCCCTGCCCCTCCCCTCCCCCTCCCCTCCCCCTCCCCTCCCCCTTCCCCTCATCTTCCCCTGCTCCCATTCCTTCTCCCTCCCCTGCCCCTCCCCTCCCCCTCCCTGCTCCCCTTCCCCTCTTCTTCCCCTGCTCCCATTCCTTCTCCCACCCCTGCCCCTCCCCTCCCCCTCCCCTCCCCCTTCCCCTCTTCTTCCCCTGCTCCCATTCCTTCTCCCACCCCTGCCCCTCCCCTCCCCCTCCCCTCCCCCTTCCCCTCTTCTTCCCCTGCTCCCATTCCTTCTCCCTCCCCTGCCCCTCCCCTCCCCCTCCCTGCTCCCCTTCCCCTCTTCTTCCCCTGCTCCCATTCCTTCTCCCACCCCTGCCCCTCCCCTCCCCCTCCCCTCCCCCTTCCCCTCTTCTTCCCCTGCTCCCATTCCTTCTCCCACCCCTGCCCCTCCCCTCCCCCTCCCCTCCCCCTTCCCCTCTTCTTCCCCTGCTCCCATTCCTTCTCCCACCCCTGCCCCTCCCCTCCCCCTCCCCTCCCCCTTCCCCTCTTCTTCCCCTGCTCCCATTCCTTCTCCCACCCCTGCCCCTCCCCTCCCCCTCCCCTCCCCCTTCCCCTCTTCTTCCCCTGCTCCCATTCCTTCTCCCACCCCTGCCCCTCCCCTCCCCCTCCCTGCTCCCCTTCCTCTCTGCTGGCCATTGCAGGCACTGGGCCGCAGCTGGAACCCATTAGGCCGCAGGGCCTCTGGGACATCTTGGCTAATGAGTGACCTCTGTGAACGTTAGGGATGAGTCAAGGTCTCGCTGCACCACAGCTTCCCGTCAGTGGGTGGCGGCAGGGATGGGGGGGCAGCTGCGGGGGGGGGGGGGGGGCTGCCTGACTGACCCTGGAGCCTGGAGGTGCTTGCTGCTCCCTCCCGCCTCCGTCTTCCCAGCAAAAGACAAGACGTGAGGGCAAGACGCTGGCTGGGGCCCTTCCAGCCATCTCTGCCCAGAAGCACATGAGGCCTCTGCGAAGCTGGCACCGGAGCCCTGCTGGCTTGGCTGGCGGGGTGGCAGGCCAGCCCTGCTCCCAGCAGGACACGATCCTGGGGGCGGAGGGCCAGCCCTCCGCAAGGACACTCAACCCAAGGGAGGCGGTGGCCGGACCTGGGCTCCCAGCCCCCTCTGAGTGGAGCCCTGGGCAGGGCTCCTCGAGTCCAATCCATGCTGGGCATGAGGGATTCTCGGGGTCTGTGGCCAACAAGAAGAAGGGTCCACACGCTCCAGGCGTCTGGAGGGGAGGCAGCCTGGGTGCATGGTGCGTGAAGAGCAGCATGGAAAAGGATGTGCGTGGGGTCAGGAGAGGGGCGGGGGCGTGGGGAGGGGAGCAGAGTGCCCCAGGAATACCTCACTGCCTCCCCACTGTCCCAGGTCTGAGGTCAGGCACCTGAGGCTGGGCGGGCCAGAGGCTCGGGGACACCGGGAAGATGGAATGCTGTGTCTGCCCATCAGGACCCAGGTGATAAGGATTCGGGGAGACGCAAGTGTGGGACCACAGAGCCTTGGGAGCTAGCGGAGGGGCATCTGGTTCTGGGGAAAGCCAGGAGGCCTGAGGCTGCGTCTGGAAGTGGGGGTCCCCTCCCAGCCCCTGCCCGGTCTTTCCTTGCCTTCAGTTCCAAGGTTCTTAATGTGGCAGGCCAGGAGGGCCCGGTGAACCGCCCCTACATGTCTTTTCTGGAAGTTTCCTTCTGGCATGGAAGGGGCCGGCCCCAGGAAGGCCCCTATTCCAGGCCCATGCTCTTCCCCAGCTGAACCCCAACCCAGCAGAGTTCTGCTCAGAAACTGGGACACCTCAGTACCTATAGCAATGGTTGACGGGCCATGGTGGTGGTTCCCCAAGGGAATGCAGGTCACCCAGGCTCTGGTGCTGGTGGCCTTGAGTTCCTGCGTCTCAAATGCAGAGGAGCTCTGAGCATGGAAGAGGCCAGGCTCTCAGATCTTGGTTCCCTGGGCCAAGGGTTCCAGCCCCTGGGGTCCCCCTGCTGTGACCCTGAAGTTCTAGCTCTCCTCTTCCGAAGCTCAGCGTCTCTGTGGCCTCCTTTCTGCCAGGCCCTCCGGAACGGCCCAGCCACCCCCTTGTGCTCAGGCTGGGGGCGCGGGGCCCCTGCTCCCTGGTGCTTCCAGGTGAGGGTCTTCAGCCCCCGCCGGCTCTCTGGGGGGCTCTTTGGGGTGAGGGTCTTCAGCCCCCGCCGGCTCTCTGGGGGGCTCTTTGGGGGACAGGAGTTTGAACTCAGAGCCTCACGTTTGCTTGGTGCGGGCTTTACCACCTGAGCCCGCCCCAGCCTTTTTTGCTTCCATCCTTTTGGAATGAACACCCGTTTAGGCTGCACAGCAAGCCTGTCCATGCTCCCCACATCTCACAGCCGCTCGCAGACGCGGCTGCCATGCCTAGCTTCCTGCTGGCTGAGATGGAGATCCTGGGCCCTGGTGCCCGGCAGACCTTGAACAGTAACATCCCAGGCTCTGCTCCTGAGTAGCTAGGATTACAGACCTGAGCGGCCGCCCCGCCTCGCAGGAAGCTCTGTGTCCTGTCAAGGTTAAAGGTCCTCCAGCCTCTGGCAGGCTCCTAGCTAAGCAGCTCAGCCTGCTCCTCTGACGGCGGTGGGCAGACAGAGCGGTCTTTCATTGGGTCTGGGGTTGCAGCATGTGGGAAAGGTGGGGAGCGGACTGGGAGGGAGGGAAGAAGGGAAGGAGGAGGGAGGGAGGGCCGGCCTCTGCCAACAGGCTGCTTGCTGCTTACATGACCTGCAGTCCTAAGGACATCCACCAGGTCCCGGGCCGCCAGCCGCGCCCTGCAGCCACCCGGGCAGGGACCCGGCACTGGGTAGGGAGGCCCCACCCCACCCTCACATGAAATGCATCAGGCATCCGTGGTCCGTCCTGGCCGGCACTCCTGCAGTGCAGTCTTCCAGACCCACTGGGGTGCATGTTTTCCAGAGTGTTCCGGCCGGGGGTGGGAGCGAGGCCTCCTGCAGCAGGTGCTGTGTGGCCGCGTACGCGCTCCCACAGCTGGGGGGACTTCTGGAGACATCCCTGGAGGCAGGGTAGCCATGACAGCCTGGCCAGCAGCCAGGAGAGGGGCTGCGGGCACCGCGCCCTGCTGCAGGCCTGAGCTCCCCCCACCCGTCACAGGGAGTGTGTTACAGACCTGGGTGGTTAATGTCAGCACCCTACCTACGTCACAAAATGTTTCACTCTATCCAGACACCCTGGGGGGGCGGGGTCCCCCTGATATGTCTCTCAGGGACTCCTGTGGAGTGGGACGCCTGTGCTGGCTGCCTGCTGGCCGCCTCTCCCCTGCGGTCAGACCCAGAGCCTGACACCGCGGGAGGGAAGGATGCCGCACCTCGAGGCCCACGCACCCCGCCCGGGCCCCCCTGAACCTGCCCTGCCCCCATGGGGGCAGCATGTCCCCCCAGGCTGGGCCCTGCCGCAGGGGAGGTGGGAAGCACTGGGCATGGCAGGGCACCTCTGTGATCCCCGCTAATCCAAGGGCAGAGGCCAGGAGGTTCTTGGTTTGAAGCCAGACTGATCAAAATGGTTAGCTAGCCCTCCATCTCACAAAACAAAAAACAACAAAAACCAGGCATGGTGGGACACACCTGTAATCCTAGCTACTGAGAGGCACAGATAGGAGAACAGGAAAAAGTGAAATCTTATCCCCAAAATTAAATCAAAAGGGCTGAGGATCAAGTGATAGAGTACTTGTCTAGCATGCATGAGGCCCTTTGTTCAAATTCCAGTGCCAGAAAAGAGGGGGGAAACGGGGAGACAGGGAGACAGGGAGAGGAAGAAAAGGTAGGTGGTAGCTGGAGCCAGTGGCTCACGTCTGTAATCCTAGCTACTCAGGAGGCTGAGCTCTGAGGACCGTGGTTCAAAGCCAGCTGGGACAGGAAAGTCCATGAAACTCTTATCTCCAATTAACCACTGGAAGTGTCACAGTGGCTCAAAGTGACAGAGCACATTAACCTTGAACAGAAGAGCTCAGGGACGGCGCCCAGGCCCTGGTTTAAGCCCCACCACCAAGGAAAAAAAGGAAGGTGGCATCTCGTGGTACCTGTAGTCAGTGCCTTCTGTGGCTGGGCCTGTGGCCATGGTGGGGTCTAAGGACCACTCCCCCACTGTGGGGATGAGCTGTGGGGCTGCCTGCCCCGAGAGCCAGGACAGAAGAGGAGCAGAGCCACCTGCCCGTGTCCAGAGAGGCAGGTACAGTGACTGGGCCGGCCCCGGCCCAGCCCCGGCCCAGCCCCGGCCCAGCCCCAGTGCAGCCCAGGGCCCAGCCCCGGCCCAGCCCCGGCCCAGCCCCAGTGCAGCCCAGGGCCCCGCGCAGACCCAGCCCCGGCCCAGCCCCGGCCCAGCCCAGGGCCCCGCGCAGACCCAGGCGCTGTACAGCCCCGGCCGTGGGCAGGGTTTCCTGGCACCCTTCCCTCCATTTCCTCACCACTACCTGCAGCAGGGCCTGCCTGAGGCACCTTACAGGTGGGGAAACTGAGTCTTCGGCTCAGGCGGCCAGCCCAGCCTCGCCACATTCTCCCTGGGACAGGCAGGACGGCTCTGCCTGCCCCGGGGCTCCTGTGGGTGCCGGCCACGCCGGGAGCCCACTGGCAGCAGAGGACACTGGGATGTTTTTCAGAAGCTGGAAGACACCATCCTGGGCCCCATGGCCAGCAGGGAAGACCGGACACTGACTGTGCGTAGGGAAGGCGGGCAGGCCTTGCCCACCCCGGTGCCAGCCCGCATCCGTGAGATCGTGGCCAGCAGCCTGGGCGGGGCGCCACCCCAAGGTGAGGAGGAGCAGCGACTGGGGACTCAGCAGCAAAGCGGGGCGGGTGTCAGACCCCAGGGCTAGGGCATCCCGCAGCCACGCCCCGTGCGGTCGCTGCCAGGACCGTTTGCCTGGCCCCCTGGGCTTGTGACACATCTGTGTCCAGGGCCAGCCGTCCGATGGCTCAGGGCCCAGCAGCCCCTTCAGGTGATGAGCCGCCCGGCAGCCGGTGCCTCAGTGGAGAGACACCACGCGCTGTTCAGAAGAGCGGCTGCCTTCCGGACCAGGTCCCCTCCCCGGCCCGACGTGTCACCCCTCCCGGGACCAGGTCCCCTCCCCCGGCCCTGTCACCCCACCCGGGACCAGGTCCCCTCCCCCGGCCCTGTCACCCCACCCGGGACCAGGTCCCCTCCCCTCCCCCAGCCCTGTCACCCCACCAGGGACCAGGTCCCCTCCCCTGGCCGGGCATGTCACCCACCCGTCAGGCCAGGCTGCTGCATTCCTTTCTTCCTAGGGCTCAACCCGGGCCTGGGTGTGGGTGAAAGATGTGGATAGAAGGGAGGGGGCACGATGCCAGGTGACAGGAGAGGCGCAGAGCACAAAGCCCCCTGCGCTGGGCTGTCCCCCCCCCGCGGCTGCGCTGGACTGTCCCTCCCAGGGGCTGCGCTGAACTGTCCCCCTCCCAGGGGCTGCGCTGGACTGTCCCCCTCCCAGGGGCTGCGCTGAACTGTCCCCCCTGGCTGCGCTGGACTGTCCCCCTCCTGGGCTGCGCTGGACTGTCCCCCTCCCAGGGGCTGCGCTGAACTGTCCCCCCTGGCTGCGCTGGACTGTCCCCCTCCTGGGCTGCGCTGGACTGTCCCCCTCCCAGGGGCTGCGCTGGACTGTCCCCCTCCCAGGGGCTGTGCTGGACTGTCCCCCTCCTGGGCTGTGCTGGGCTGTCCCCCTCCTGGGCTGCACTGGACTGTCCCCCCTGGCTGCGCTGGACTGTCCCCCTCCTGGGCTGCGCTGGGCTGTCCCCCTCCTGGGCTGCACTGGACTGTCCCCCTCCTGGGCTGCTCTGGACTGTCCCCCTCCCAGGCTGCGCTGGACTGTCCCCTACCCGGGCTGCGCTGGACTGTCCCCCTCCCAGGCTGTGCTGGACTGTCCCCCTCCTGGGCTGCGCTGGACTGTCCCTCTCCTGGGCTGCGCTGGACTGTCCCCCTCCCGGGCTGCGCTGGGCTGTCCCCCTCCTGGACTGTGCTGGACTGTCCCCCTCCTGGGCTGCGCTGGGCTGTCCCCCTCCTGGGCTGCGCTGGACTGTCCCCCTCCCAGGCTGTGCTGGACTGTCCCCCTCCTGGGCTGCGCTGGACTGTCCCCCTCCTGGGCTGCGCTGGACTGTCCCCCTCCTGGGCTGTGCTGGGCTGTCCCCCTCCTGGGCTGTGCTGGACTGTCCCCCTCCCAGGCTGTGCTGGACTGTCCCCCTCCTGGGCTGCGCTGGGCTGTCCCCCTCCTGGGCTGTGCTGGGCTGTCCCCCTCCCAGGGGCTGCGCTGGACTGTTCACCTCCCGGGCTGTGCTGGACTGTCCCCCTCCCGGGCTGCGCTGGACTGGCCCCCTCCCGGGCTGTGCTGGACTGTCCCTCTCCTGGGCTGTGCTGGACTGTCCCCCTCCCGGGCTGTGCTGGACTGTCCCCCTCCCGGGCTGTGCTGGACTGTCCCCCTCCTGGGCTGCGCTGGACTGTCCCCCCCTGGGCTGCGCTGGACTCTTCCCCCCCTGGGCTGCGCTGGACTGTCCCCCTCCCAGGCTGCGCTGGACTGTCCCCCTCCTGGGCTGCGCTGGGCTGTCCTCCTCCCAGGCTGCACTGGACTGTCCCCCTCCTGGGGCTGTGCTGGACTGTTCCCCCCCAGGCTGCGCTGGACTGTCCCTCCCGGGCTGTGCTGGACTGTCTCCCCCGGGCTGCACTGGGCTGTTCCCCTCCCGGGCTGTGCTGGACTGTCCCCCTCCTGGACTGTGCTGGGCTGTCCCCCTCCCAGGCTGACCTGGACACTGTGCTCACAGGGGCGCAGGAGCTGCCCGCCCCCACGGCCGGGGCTCAGGAGGACAGTGAGCTCCTGCAGGAGGAGCTGGCCCGGCTGGAGGCCCTGCTGGCCCAGGCTGGCGCTGAGCGTGAGGAGCTGGTCAGCAGGTACCACATGGTCAGCGAGCGGGTGAGTGTCCAGCTGGGGCCTGGTGAGCCAGTGGGCTAAGCTCCCACCTTTTGTGGGGTCACTGGCTGGGACTGGCGGCCACACCTGTGGGCCATCAGCAAGTCCTGGGCCTGGACCATGGCGTCTCAGCCACAGCCCATCTTGGGCAACAGATGGGGAAACGGAGGCCAGAGGTGAGCAGGCAGAGTGGCCGGGTTTCCCACAAAGCCCTGGCTCACCTTCCCCAAGCCTCCCGGCATGGGGGTCTGCTCTGTGCTGACCCTTGGTCCCAGCACCTCACCAGATTCAGCACGACAACAGCTCCCTAGAGAGATGCCACGGGGGGAAGATGCCACGGCGGGGGGGGGGGGAAGATGCCATGGGGCGAAGATGCCCCGGGGGGAAGATGCCACAGGGGGAGATGCCACGGGGGGAGATGCCACGGGGGGAGATGCCACAGGGGGGCGAGATGCCACTAGGGGAAGATGCCATGGGGAGAAGATGCCATGGAGGGAAGATGCCATGGAGGGAAGATGCCACAGGGGGAAGATGCCACAGGGGGGAGATGCCACGGGGGGGTGAGATGCCACAGGGAGAAGATGCCACAGGGGGAAGATGCCATGGAGGGAAGATGCCACGGGGGGATGCCACGGCAGGGGGAAGATGCCATGGGGGAGAAGATGCCATGGGGGGAAGATGCCACAGGGGGAAGATGCCATGGGGGGGAGATGCCACGGGGGGGGCGAGATGCCACAGGGAGAAGATGCCACGGGGGGAAGATGCCATGGGGGGAAGATGCCACGGGGAGAAGATGCCACGGGGGAGATGCCACGGCAGGGGGAAGATGCCACGGGGGAAGATGCCACAGGGGAAGATGCCATGGGGGAGAAGATGCCACGGGGGAAGATGCCATGGGGGAAGATGCCATGGGGGAGAAGATGCCATGGGGGGAAGATGCCACGGGGAAAGATGCCATGAAGGAGAAGATGCCACAGGGGGAAGATGCCATGGGGGAAGATGCCACGGCAGGGGGAAGATGCCACGGGGGAAGATGCCACAGGGGAGAAGATGCCACAGGGGGAGGATGCCACGGGGGGAGATGCCACGGCAAGGGGAAGATGCCACGGGGGGAAGATGCCACGGGGGGGAAGATGCTACGGGGGGGAAGATGCCATGGGGGGGAAGATGCCACGGGGGAGAAGATGCCACGGGGGGGAAGATGCCACGGGGGGAAGATGCCATGGGGGAAGATGCCACTGGGGGGTAAGATGCTATGGGGGGGAGATACCATGGGGGCGGGGGCGCCACTGAGGGGGAAGACACCACTGAGGAGCTCCAAAGACAGTACCCACAGGGAGACAGTCCTGTCTTGACCCACGCTCTCCCCACTGGCTAGACCCACCTCTGAGGCTCTGGGGGACGGGACGGTGGGGGTCAGGCTCCGAGGGACAGGATGGAGGAGGGCAGGCTCCAGGGGATGGGACGTGGGGGCCTGGCGCTCTGACAGCTCGTTCCAGGGGAGCTGTGGCAGGGGCTTATTCAGTGATGTGTGGGCTGTGCAGGCGGAGAGGAGACCTGAGCCTCCCTCCTTGCTGCCACGTGGAGGAGTAGGGCTTCTGAGCAGCACTGGGAAGAGCAGCAGGGCAGGGGTGTGGCCCCGCTGTGGGAAGTTCAGAGGCCCCTCGACCATCCTGGCTGCGCCTGTGCCGACCTCAGAGCCCTGCCGAGCAAGGGCAGACCAGGAAACGCAGGCTCATGCGGTCCAGTGCTCGGGCACACCACTGTTACCGGGCCCAGGCCCAAGCCAACCTGCTGTCCTCTGGTCTGTGACATGGGACCAGCAGGAAATGCCTGTGGGCTTGGCCTGTGCAGGGGTCCGGGGATGCTTCCCAGAGCTGCAGCCCCACGGTGCCTCCAATCTCCCCAGGGTCCCCTCTGCTGCCGCCATGCTGCCATGCTGGCCCTCACAGGAGAAATGCCTGTGCTCCAGGACGGGACTTTGAAGCCCTCACCCGATCTGGCCAGGAACACCCTGGAAGGCGTGGGCCGGGCTAGGGTGGCCATCTTCCGAGCAGAGGCGGGGTGCTGGGCACAGGCAGGAAGAGACGCTCATGGGTCCTGCTCAGACCACTAACAGGACCAGCCCGTCTGGATGCGGGCCTCTCCTGTGGGGTTCCGGCGGCCCCACCTGACCCTGTCCCTTCTAGGCATGCAGGCCGGGCCTGGGCTGGGTCCTGGCGCCAGCATGCAGGGGCGGGGTTCCCTGGGGCAGCCTCAGACCCTGACTTGGGGCCTCTCCCCCTCTCCTCGCCCTAAGTGGCTGTGGTGTTAGCCGCTGTTCTGCCCTCGGCCCTCCTCTCTGCCGTCTTCCCAGGCCCTGAGCTCAGGTTCCTGCTCCAGTGACGGCCTGCGTGTGATGCCCTGCGCCTGGCTGGGGCCAGGCCAGCGGCCAGGGGGGCTGGTGTGCAGGCCATAGCCCCTCCCAATAACGGAGGGGGCAGGCGGGAGGCGCAGCCCCACCTCACAGCAGCATGGGGTCCTCCCCCTGCCACGGCACTAGGGTGTCCCCAGAGCCCAAGAGAGCCATCTGTGAGTGAATGCCGGGGCCATGCCTCCTGGGGGAGGGAGGTCTGCATGGCCTCTCCGTCAGCAAGCCTCTGCACCCGGCCCTCTGTAGGCCACGCGTGCCTGGCACAGGGCAGGCGGGGGACAGCGGCTCCGGCTCAGAGCCAGCTCGACCTCAGCCCCATCCTCTTGTGGGTCTGTCCTGCCCCCGCCCAGGGTGGGCTCTGGGGCGTGGGTGCCCCACCCTGGAGATTCGGGGCCTTGGCCCAGGGGCTGCATTCTCCTCCAGCTGCAGGCCCGGCTGCAGACCACTGAGGCCCAGCTGCGCAGATCTGAGCTGGAGCACAGCGTGGACCTGGAGGAGGCCCTCGACCGCCTGGAGGCCTCGGAGCAGAGGTGAGACGCGAGGGCAGCTGGGCAGGTGGCCGCTGCCCCAGACGCCGCAGGCCCAGCGCCTGGAGCGGCCGCCAGCAGCTCCTGATGGTCCTGGGTTGCCTTTGCCTGAGGGAGCAGGTGCAGAAGGGTCTAGAGCGAGAGGCACGGGCCTCTCCCCAAGTCACGTCCAGGGCCAAGCCCAAGCGAGAAAGGAGGGGACACCAAAGTGTGCTTCTGCAGAGTGCTGCTCAGCCTGATGGCAGACCACACCCCTCCCCACGTCCAGACCCCGAGACGGACACCATGGGGACTCCCCTCCCCACGTCCAGACCCCGAGACGGACACACAGACACTCCCCTCCCCACGTCCAGACCCCGAGACGGACACACAGAGACTCCCCTCCCCACGTCCAGACCCCCAGACGGACACACAGACACTCCCCTCCCCACGTCCAGACCCCGAGACGGACACACAGGGACTCCCCTCCCCACGTCCAGACCCCAAGACGGACACACAGACACTCCCCTCCCCACGTCCAGACCCCGAGACGGACACACGGGGACTCCCCTCCCCACGTCCAGACCCCCAGACGGACACACAGAGACTCCCCTCCCCACGTCCAGACCCCAAGACAGACACACAGGGACTCCCCTCCCCACGTCCAGACCCCGAGACGGACACACAGACACTCCCCTCCCCACGTCCAGACCCCCAGACGGACACACAGAGACTCCCCTCCCCACGTCCAGACCCCAAGACGGACACACAGGGACTCCCCTCCCCACGTCCAGACCCCGAGACGGACACACGGGGACTCCCCTCCCCACGTCCAGACCCCAAGACGGACACACAGACACTCCCCTCCCCACGTCCAGACCCCGAGACGGACACACAGACACTCCCCTCCCCACGTCCAGACCCCCAGACGGACACACAGAGACTCCCCTCCCCACGTCCAGACCCCAAGACGGACACACAGGGACTCCCCTCCCCACGTCCAGACCCCGAGACGGACACACAGACACTCCCCTCCCCACGTCCAGACCCCAAGACAGACACACAGGGACTCCCCTCCCCACGTCCAGACCCCGAGACGGACACACAGACACTCCCCTCCCCACGTCCAGACCCCCAGACGGACACACAGAGACTCCCCTCCCCACGTCCAGACCCCAAGACGGACACACAGGGACTCCCCTCCCCACGTCCAGACCCCGAGACGGACACACGGGGACTCCCCTCCCCACGTCCAGACCCCGAGACGGACACACAGACACTCCCCTCCCCACGTCCAGACCCCAAGACGGACACACAGGGACTCCCCTCCCCACGTCCAGACCCCGAGACGGACACACAGACACTCCCCTCCCCACGTCCAGACCCCAAGACAGACACACAGGGACTCCCCTCCCCACGTCCAGACCCCGAGACGGACACACGGGGACTCCCCTCCCCACGTCCAGACCCCAAGACGGACACACAGACACTCCCCTCCCCACGTCCAGACCCCGAGACGGACACACAGACACTCCCCTCCCCACGTCCAGACCCCAAGACGGACACACAGACACTCCCCTCCCCACGTCCAGACCCCGAGACGGACACACAGGGACTCCCCTCCCCACGTCCAGACCCCAAGACGGACACACAGACACTCCCCTCCCCACGTCCAGACCCCGAGACGGACACACAGACACTCCCCTCCCCACGTCCAGACCCCAAGACGGACACACAGACACTCCCCTCCCCACGTCCAGACCCCGAGACGGACACACAGGGACTCCCCTCCCCACGTCCAGACCCCGAGACGGACACACAGACACTCCCCTCCCCACGTCCAGACCCCAAGACGGACACACAGACACTCCCCTCCCCACGTCCAGACCCCCAGACGGACACACAGACACTCCCCTCCCCACGTCCAGACCCCGAGACGGACACACAGGGACTCCCCTCCCCACGTCCAGACCCCAAGACGGACACACAGACACTCCCCTCCCCACGTCCAGACCCCGAGACGGACACACAGACACTCCCCTCCCCACGTCCAGACCCCAAGACGGACACACAGGGACTCCCCTCCCCACGTCCAGACCCCAAGACGGACACACAGACACTCCCCTCCCCACGTCCAGACCCCGAGACGGACACACAGGGACTCCCCTCCCCACGTCCAGACCCCCAGACGGACACACGGGGACTCCCCTCCCCACGTCCAGACTTGCATTCACCACTTAGAGCTGTGCCTGCTCTGCCAGGATCAGCCCTGAATGCAAAGGGAGAGGTCCACCCATGGCTGAGGTCACACGGCGTGGCCTCCTGTCTCCCCTGTCCACATCCCTTCCCGCATGCTCTTAGGCCCTGGAAAGGGTTGCTGTCCACACCCCTCAGCCCACGTCTACTCGGGCTCTGCCAATTCTCCCCCAGGGCTGTGGGTGTTTGGACCCGTGGGCAGCCTCCCCAAACACCGGGGACCCCCGGCCACCCTGGCCCCGTCCCCTGGGCCCGCTTCCCGCAGCGGGTCCATGCTCAGGGAAGACCCTCACATTTTCCCCAGGCTGGCCTCGAATCAGAGTCCTCCCCATCTCTGGCTCCCAAGTTACTAAGATATAGACATGATCCGTGATCTATCTCGAAAACCCGTTTCGAGGGGAAGCAATAGCCCACATGGAGGCCAGTGCCAGTGAAACAGGACCAGGTGTCCCGCTGATGGCAAGATGGGCATCTGTGTCCCCGCAGACCAGAGCACCTGCAGACCAGCCCCGAGGGGCCTTGGCCCCCGCCCCACGCAGGGACAGCAGTCTTCCCTCCTGGGACAGAGGGGCAGCAGGGGTGTGAGAGAGAGAAGGGGAGGAGGAGAGCAGGGGAAGGAGAGCCCCGCCCCCAGGCTCCATCCGCACCCACGGGGCAGAGCTGGGCACGGGGGCTCGGAGCCCCTTGATTGGGGGCCTGGGACCGCCACTGCCTAAGAGGAAGCCACGACCAAGCTCAGGCAGCCGCGGTTCTGTCCCTAGGAGCAGGGGCCTCTCCCAGGTGAACGCCCTCCTGCGAGGACAGCTGGAGCACTTGAGGACGGCAAACGAGGCGCTGACGCGGGAGCTGGCCACGGTGACCGCCACGGCCACGGTGAAGGGCAGCGCACGGCCGCCGCAGGGCCGGCGGGAGCGGGGCGGGGCTCGGCGCCGGGGCCAGAGAGAGGTGCCCCCACCCCACCCCTGCCTCTGCCCATCTGGTGGCGGCCGCGCGCTTTGGCGCCTGTGGCCGGTGGTAGGTGGCAGCAGGGGCCGGGAGGGGTGAGAGGGCGTCGCGGCCTGTCCCAGGGCGGGGCCTGGTCCTCCCTTCTGGGTGGCCCAGCAGCCTGTGAGGTGAGGAGCACTTCAGCCCTCTGTCCTCTCTGAGAATCAGTGAGCTGGGGCCAGTCCCCGCTCCGGGGGGGACCACCCTGTGGCTGCCGGTCAAGCTGCAGGAAGGGGCCCTCGAAGGGCCTGCGTGGCTTACGAGTTCCGCGTCCAGGAAGTTCCAATAGCCGCTGTTTTCTTTGTTTCTGCTCAAGCCTCGTACTGCCTTGTGCCCTTGGGACTTTAGAGGGTTTTGGTTTTGTTTTGTTTTGTTTTTTTCAACAGAGATGTTTGTTTTCCTTGGGACTGGGTGGAAAATCTTTGAAATGTGAGACTAACACGCTGTTTTCCAGAAAGGACTTTCATTTGCCTCTGCGGGGTTCCCGGGCCCCAGGAACTGGGGCCGCATGGCAGTGCGCTTTCACCCCGAGTGTTTTTAAGAACACCCAGGTTGTGTGCACCCAGGCTGCAAACTGTCTAACTTGGGGCTCCAAACCCACCAGGAAGATTTTCTTCCTCTGTTCAATTCTCGACATTGCACAGGCAGTTTTTTTATCTGTAGGAAGGTGTGTGTGTTGTGTGTAGAGCGTAGCGTATGGGCCTCTGAGTGCGTGAAAGTAGTGTGTGTGCTTATAGGACATGTCACTCTGTGTGTGAGTGTATCTGCGTGTGTGAGAATGTGGCATTACACAAGCCCCTTCCAGCCTCATAGAGCTGGCTCAGCACCTGCACCTGGAATGGGGGGGGAGGGGCAGAGGGGAAAACTGGCCTAAAAGTGGACACAGGTGTCTTGTGCTCAGACTCTGCAGATAGGCCGGCAGGAGCCCAGGGGCGTCCTCCTGCTCTGGAGACAGGCCACAGCAATCCGCACACACCTGGCCGAGCTGCGGGCAGCCACTGAGAGGTGAGCCCTGTGCCCATCTGAGAGCCCCTGAGCCCAGGGCAAGGAGCCCCCCCTCCTGCAGCACTGGTCCTGTCTGGTCTGGGGCTGTCTGGTCTGGTCCTGTCTGGTCTGGGGCGGTCTGGTCCTGTCTGGTCTGGGGCGGTCTGGTCCTGTCTGGTCTGGGGCAGTCTGGTCTGGGGCTGTCTGGTCTGGTCTTGTCTGGTCTGGGGCTGTCTGGTCTGGTCCTGTCTGGTCTGGAGCGGTCTGGTCCTGTCTGGTCTGGGGCAGTCTGGTCTGGGGCTGTCTGGTCTGGTCTTGTCTGGTCTGGGGCTGTCTGGTCTGGTCCTGTCTGGTCTGGAGCGGTCTGGTCCTGTCTGGTCTGGGGCAGTCTGGTCTGGGGCTGTCTGGTCTGGTCTTGTCTGGTCTGGGGCTGTCTGGTCTGGTCTTGTCTGGTCTGGAGCGGTCTGGTCCTGTCTGGTTTGGGGCTGTCTGGTCTGGTCTTGTCTGGTCTGGGGCTGTCTGGTCTGGTCCTGTCTGGGCTGGGGCTGTCTGGTCTGGTCCTGTCTGGTCGTGTGCTGTCTGGTCTGGGGCTGTCTGGGCTGGTCCTGTCTGGTCTGAGGCTATCTGGGCTAGGGCTGTCTGGGCTGGGGCTGTCTGGTCTGGTCCTGTCTGGTCGTGTGCTGTCTGGTCTGGGGCTGTCTAGTCTGGTCCTGTCTAGGCTGGTCCTGTCTGGTCTGGTCCTATCTAGTCGTGTGCTGTCTGGTCTGGGGCTGTCTGGGTTGGTCCTGTCTGGTCTGGGGCTGTCTGGTCTGGTTCTGTCTGGTCTGGGGCTGTCTGGTCTGGGGCTGTCTGGTCTGGGGCTGTCTGGTCTGGTCCTGTCTAGGCTGGTCCTGTCTGGTCTGGGGCTGTCTGGTCTGGTCTGAGGCTGTCTCGTCTGGGACTGTCTGGTCTGGGGCTGTCTGGACTGGGCTGTCTGGTCTGGGGCTGTCTGGTCTGGGGCTGTCTGGTCTGGTCCTGTCTGGGCTGGGGCTGTCTGGTCTGGTCCTGTCTGGTCGTGTGCTGTCTGGTCTGGGGCTGTCTGGGCTGGTCCTGTCTGGTCTGAGGCTATCTGGGCTAGGGTTGTCTGGGCTGGGGCTGTCTGGTCTGGTCCTGTCTGGTCGTGTGCTGTCTGGTCTGGGGCTGTCTAGTCTGGTCCTGTCTAGGCTGGTCCTGTCTGGTCTGGTCCTATCTAGTCGTGTGCTGTCTGGTCTGGGGCTGTCTGGGTTGGTCCTGTCTGGTCTGGGGCTGTCTGGTCTGGTTCTGTCTGGTCTGGGGCTGTCTGGTCTGGGGCTGTCTGGTCTGGGGCTGTCTGGTCTGGTCTGAGGCTGTCTGGTCTGGTCCTGTCTGGGCTGGGGCTGTCTGGTCCGGTCCTGTCTGGTCTGGGGCTGTCTGGTCTGGTCCTGTCTAGGCTGGTCCTGTCTGGTCTGGGGCTGTCTGGTCTGGTCCTGTCTGGTCTGGGGCTGTCTGGTCTGGTCTGAGGCTGTCTCATCTGGGACTGTCTGGTCTGGGGCTGTCTGGACTGGGCTGTCTGGTCTGGGGCTGTCTGATCTGGGGCTGTCTGGTCTGGGGCTGTCTGGACTGGGGCTGTCTGGACTGGGCTGTCTGGTCTGAGGCTATCTGGGCTGGAGCTGTCTAGGCTGGGGCTGAGCTGTGGAAGGGTGGCCATTGGAGGAGAACCAACAGACAGAGATGGGAGAGTAATGTGGGGAGTGGAATCAGTATTAGAATCAGCATGAGACGGTGGGCACTCACCTGGCACGGAGTGTGGAGCCTTCCCAAACACCTGGCCCCACGATGCCCTGGCCCCACGCCGCCCTGGCCGCACGCCACCCTGGCCCCACGCCGCCCTGGCCCCACGCCGCCCTGGCCGCACGCAGCCCTGGTTCCATGCTGGCCTGGCTCCACGCTGCCCTGGCCCCACGCTGCCCTGGCCGCACGCTGCCCTGGCCCCACGCTGCCCTGGCCCCACGCTGCCCTGGCCGCACGCTGCCCTGGCCGCACGCTGCCCTGGCCGCACGCTGCCCTGGCCCCACGCTGCCCTGGCTCCACGCTGCCCTGGCCCCACGCTGCCCTGCTCCACGCTGCCCCGGCCCCACGCTGCCCCGGCCCCACGCTGCCCTGGCCCCACGCTGCCATGGCCGCACGCTGCCCTGGTCCCACGCTGCCCTGGCTCCACGCTGCCCTGGCCGCACACTGCCCTAGCTCCAAGCTGCCCTCGCTGCACACCGCCCTGGCCCCACGCTGCCCTGGCTGCACACTGCCCTGGCTCCACGCTGCCCTGGCCCCACGCTGCCCTGGCTCCACGCTGAACTGGCCGCACGCTGCCCTGGCCGCACGCTGCCCTGGCCCCACGCTGCCCCGGCTCCACGCTGCCCTGGCCCCACGCTGCCCCGGCTCCACGCTGCCCCGGCCCCACGCTGCCCCGGCCCCACGCTGCCCTGGCCCCACGCTGCCATGGCCGCACGCTGCCCTGGCCCCACGCTGCCCTGGCCCCACGCTGCCCTGGCCCCACGCTGCCATGGCCGCACGCTGCCCTGGCCCCACGCTGCCCTGGCCCCACGCTGCCCTGGCCCCACGCTCCCCTGGCCCCACGCTGCCCTGGCCCCACGCTGCCCTGGCCCCACGCTGCCCTGGCCGCACGCTGCCCTGGCCCCACGCTGCCCTGGCCCCACGCTGCCCAGGCCCCACGCTGCCCTGGCCCCACGCTGCCCTGGCCCCACGCTGCCCTGGCCCCACGCTGCCCTGGCCGCACGCTGCCCTGGCCCCACGCTGCCCTGGCCCCACGCTGCCCTGGCCCCACGCTGCCCTGGCCGCACGCTGCCCTGGCCGCACGCTGCCCTGGCCCCACGCTGCCCTGGCCCCACGCTGCCCTGGCCGCACGCTGCCCTGGCCCCACGCTGCCCTGGCCCCACGCTGCCCTGGCCCCACGCTGCCCTGGCCCCACGCTGCCCTGACCGCACGCTGCCCTGGCCGCACGCTGCCCTGGCCGCACGCTGCCCTGGCCGCACGCTGCCCTGCTCCACGCTGCCCTGGCCGCACGCTGCCCTGGCCGCACGCTGCCCTGGCCCCACGCTGCCCTGGCCCCACGCTGCCCTGGCTCCACGCTGGCTCCACGCTGCCCTGGCCGCACGCTGCCCTGGCCGCACGCTGCCCTGGCCGCACGCTGCCCTGGCCCCACGCTGCCCTGGCCGCACGCTGCCCTGGCCGCACGCTGCCCTGGCCGCACGCTGCCCTGGCTGCACGCTGCCCTGGCCGCACGCTGCCCTGGCCGCATGCTGCCCTGCTCCACGCTGCCCTAGCCCCACGCTGCCCTGGCCGCACACTGTCCTGGCCCCACGCTGCCCTGGCCCCACGCTGCCCTGGCTCCACGCTGCCCTGGCTGCATGCTGCCCTGGCCCCACGCTGCCCTGGCCGCACGCTGCCCTGGCCCCACGCTGCCATGGCTGCACGCTGCCCTGGCTCCATGCTCCCCTGGCCCCACGCTGCCCTGGCCGCACGCTGCCCTGGCCGCACGCTGCCCTGGCCCCACGCTGCCCTGGCCCCACGCTACCCTGGCCCCACGCTGCCCTGGCCCCACGCTGCCCTGGCCCCACGCTGCCCTGGCCCCACGCTGCCCTGGCCGCACGCTGCCCTGGCTCCACGCTGCCCTGGCTCCACGCTGCCCTGGCTCCAAGCTGCCCTGGCTCCACGCTGCCCTGGCTGCACACTGCCCTGGCTGCACACTGCCCTGGCCCCACGCTGCCCTGGCTCCACGCTGCCCTGGCCGCGTGGCTCCACGCTGCCCTGGCTGCACACTGCCCTGGCTGCACACTGCCCTGGCCCCACGCTGCCCTGGCTCCACGCTGCCCTGGCTCCACGCTGCCCTGGCTGCACGCTGTCCTGGCCCCACGCTGCCCTGGCCCCACGCTGCCCTGGCTGCACGCTGCCCTGGCCCCACGCTGCCCTGGCCGCACGCTGCCCTGGCCCCACGCTGCCCTGGCTCCACGCTGCCCTGGCTGCACACTGCCCTGGCCCCACGCTGCCCTGGCTGCACGCTGCCCTGGCCCCACGCTGCCCTGGCCCCACGCTGCCCTGGCTGCACACTGCCCTGGCCCCACGCTGCCCTGGCTGCACGCTGCCCTGGCCCCACGCTGCCCTGGCTCCACGCTCCCGTGGCCCCACGCTGCCCTGGCTCCACGCTCCCCTGGCTCCACGCTCCCCTGGCCCCACGCTGCCCTGGCTCCACGCTGCCCTGGCCACACGCTGCCCTGGCCGCACGCTGCCCTGGCCCCACGCTCCCCTGGCCCCACGCTGCCCTGGCCCCACGCTGCCCTGGCCCCACGCTGCCCTGGCCCCACGCTGCCCTGGCTGCACGCTGCCCTGGCCCCACGCTGCCCTGGCCCCACGCTGCCCTGGCCGCACGCTCCCCTGGCCCCACGCTGCCCTGGCTGCACGCTGCCCTGGCCCCACGCTGCCCTGGCCCCACGCTGCCCTGGCTCCATGCTGCCCTGGCTCCACGCTGCCCTGGCCGCACGCTGCCCTGGCTCCATGCTGCCCTGGCTCCACGCTGCCCTGGCTCCACGCTGCCCTGGCCGCACGCTGCCCTGGCTCCATGCTGCCCTGGCTCCACGCTGGCTCCACACTGCCCTGGCTCCATGCTGCCCTGGCTCCATGCTGCCCTGGCTCCACGCTGGCTCCACACTGCCCTGGTATGGTAGCTGCCCTCGGGGTGAGTGACCCCCGTTTACTGTCGAAGATCCCAGCAGGCCCATGTCTGGCTCAAGGCTGTGATGCCGGGACTGGCCTGCCCCTCATCGGCCCTTCACTGCCACGCCGCCATCATCTCTGACTTCATCTGCGTCACGCAGTGGTGGCTGCTCTGGAGATGGCCTGGCCCTCCCCTTCCTTGCCCTGCGTGGGGCCTCCTGATTCCAGCACTCATGAAGGTCCTGCCCTTATCTCCCAGGGGTCTCTCAGACATGCGGGCAGATACTGCCAGGACTGCCCGGCGTCTGCACACAGCCTGCCTGAACCTTGACTCCAACCTGCGGCTGGCAGCCAGCAGTGCAGCCTCTGACCTGGAGCAACAGCTGCAGGAACAGGTCCGCGATACACTGCAGCTGCAGGGCCGCTGGGAGGCCGAGAAGGTGGCACTACGTGCCAGGTAGAGGGCTGGGAAGGGGCGCTGAGGGCCGGGTGGGGGGCTGGGAGGGGGCGCTGAGGGCCGGGTGGGGGGCTGGGAGGGGGTGCTGAGGGCCGGGTGGGGGGCTGGGAGGGGGCGCTGAGGGCCGCTGGGAGGCCGAGAAGGTGGCACTACGTGCCAGGTAGAGGGCTGGGAAGGGGCGCTGAGGGCCGGGTGGGGGGCTGGGAGGGGGCGCTGAGGGCCGGGTGGGGGGCTGGGAGGGGGCGCTGAGGGCCGGGTGGGGGGCTGGGAGGGGGCGCTGAGGGCCGGGTGGGCCCTAGGCTCCAGCCAGTTCCACAGGGAAGTGTACCCAGAGCCCTGTCCTGTCCAAAAGCAGCTGCAGGCTCCCAGGTGCCATTGCATCTGTCCTGCGTAGTGTTCAGCCCTGATCTTCACCCGCCATGAGGCTGTAGAGCTATATGGAGTTGGAACATAGGCCAAGCTACCTCAGGTCGGGTGTAGGCCTTGCATGCTGAGATCTGTGCTCTGCAAGGCTCCTGGCAGGAGAGGCTGCAATCAGGCCCGGGATGGAGACCCACTCAGTGTGGCCCTGGCAGTGAAGGGCGGCTACACCACAGACCACAAAGCCTGAGCCACAGCACCCTGGGCCCGCCTCACCCCCACCCGACTTCCCAGACTCTCTGAGCAGACGTTGCTGGTAGAGGAGCTCACAGAGCAGAGCAAGCAGAAGGAGAGAACCATCGCCTCTCTCAAGATGGATTTCCACAAGCTGGTTTGTGAGGCCGGGAGGAAGGAGGTGCAGCGGGTGGTGTCTGTCCGCTTGGCTGAGGGTCTCCACCTGCAGGAATCACAGCGTGACCGGGCCCAGCTGGCGGCCGATGACCTGAGGGACGAGGTCACATCGCTACAGCACGTCCTGGCCAGCATCGCAGAGGTGCGGCCTCACCCTGTGTCCCTCTGGTGGTACAGGCTGTGATGACCTGTGGGGACCTGGCCCAACTGGCCCTAGTGAAAGTCTAGAAGGTTCCAGATCACTTGCGGGTCTATACCTCCCCCTCTGTCCCTCTGCTCTCTCAAGGTGGCCCAGGCAGACATCAAGTATTCTGAGCCAACGTGGAGCAGAAGCACTGAGGGCGAGAAGGTGTGGGGACAGTGGAGGAGCCCCCCACGAGCCACAGCCCCCCACCGAGGGGCATCCCCACCCCAGGCCCACTCTCCAGCTGGCCTGGACCCCACCCTGCAGGCCGTGCGGACAGCCATTGAGAGGAGGCAGCAGCGAGAACAGGCAGGTTACCACAGCTTGTTGGCACATGAAGCAAAACTTTCCAGGGACAGAGCCCCACACGGTTCCATACCCGATGATAGAGCCCCACACGGTTCCATACCCGATGATAGAGCCCCACACAGCTCCATACCCATATGATAGAGCCCCACACAGCTCCATACCCCGATGACAGAGCCCCACATGGCTCCATACCCCGATGACAGAGCCCCACAAGGCTCCATACCCCGGTGATAGAGCCCCACACAGCTCCATAGCTGGATGACAGAACCCCACACAGCTCCATACCTGATGACAGAGCCCCACACAGCTCCATAGCTGAATGACAGAGCCCCACACAGCTCCATAGCTGGATGACAGAACCCCACACAGCTCCATACCTGATGACAGAGCCCCACACGGCTCCATAGCTGGATGGCAGAGCCCCACACGGCTCCATAGCTGGATGACAGAGCCCCACACGGCTCCATAGCTGGATGGCAGAGCCCCACACAGCTCTATACCTGGATGGTAGAGCCCCACACAGCTCCATACCTGGAGAACACAGCCCTTCCCGTGACACCCCCCCACCCCCCCCCCCCCGCCTCAGGTCCAGTCCGTTGCTTATATAAATCGATTGACTTCCAGATCTTCTCCCCTGGGGCTCCCTCAAGCCTGTCATCCTTGGGAATGGACTCCCGTCTTAGGGTCCCATCTGGGACCCTAAGTCAGGGAGCCTTGTCTGGTCTGGGGCTCACAATAGGCCCTTCCTGACAGGAGCTGTGCCATCAGTTGGAGGCCTCCAAGATGGCAGCAGCCAGCCTCCAGGAGCAGCTATCTGAGTCCCAGAGGGAGCTCTGGGCCTCCCAACAGCTGCTTCAGGACAGAACACAGGAGCGGGAGGACCTCCTAGGCCAGCTGGAGACCCAGCGGCAGGAGGCCCGGCACTGCCAGGCATCCGCTGAACTCCTGAGAAGGTGAAGGAGGCCAGCTGCCCCTGACAGGGTGGGGCAGGGGGCAGTGCCACGCCGGGCAGTGCCAAGCTTGCCATTAGGCCTCTGAAAGACCTTGCAGCAGGACAGCAACCAGGCCACATCTCCAGGCCACATCTCCAGGCACACATGCCTAGGCTACCCTACCCTGGGGCCCTCATCCCTCATCTGGGCACTTAGTCCAACCGAGGCGACATTGTACATGGCAGTCCCTCTGAGCAGCCTGTAAGTGTGCTTGGTGCTGGGCAGGAAGGCCGAGTGTAAGTCAGGGCCGATCCTGGTCACAGAGCTGCAAGCAGGCCAACACAGAGAAGGGCCTTGCCCAAGGGAGCCAGGAAGAGAGGGGGAGGGAACAGGAGCTGTGCTGTGTGCCGGGTTCATGAGAGGCCTGTGTGACCCAGCCAGCCAGGCAGGGCCAGGTCACAGGCCGGGGCTGCCCACCACACCCAGGAGCAGAGGGCACAGGGAGCGTGGGGACTGCCACGGAGGCAGGAACGCAGCAGGACCCACAGGGAGCAGTGGGGAGGGCATAATGCACCTGTGGCACAGAATGTCACACCCAGAGACACAGGGGAAATGGAGCCTCAGGACTGGGACGCTGGAGACCGGATGGGAGGGGCAACAGCAATGCCGAGTCCTGGCGATGGGTGTCATGGCTCTGGGGCTGTGTGGCTTGGGAGGCCTTGGATTGTGGCCACCTCATCTTGGCCAGCAGGGTGTTGATCACAGTCCCACAGTCCGGCTGGTCCCCAGCCCCCACGCTCCCCATCCCGTTCCCTCCGCCTCTGCGGCCACAGAGGGCTGCATCTGCCCTGCCCTGCTGGCTCCCTCCTGGCACAGGCCCACCTGGGAGGTGCCTGCACCCCAATCCTGGCTCCTGTCTTAGGGAGAAGGTGGCCCTAGAGCTGGCGGCAGAGGAGCTGAGCGCGAAGGTAGACATCTGTGCGGCAGAGAAGCAGAGCCTGGAGGCAGCAAATGCAGAGCTGCGCTGCAGCCTGCAGCTGCGGGAAGAACAGAGAGCGGGGCTGGCGCGGCAGGGCCAGAGCAGCCAGCGCGCCCTGGACGCCAGGTGGGCTGAAACACCTGGGCAGCAGGCGTGATGTGCGGCCGGCTCCTCCCAACCAGGCCTCACCACTCCCGGCCGGTTCCCGTGGCACTGTGGGCCACGCAGAGGGGTTCCCTCCCCTGGTGCGTGTGCCACTTCACCCAGAGGTCCCTTTGGAGGGGAGCGTCACGGTGGCTTGCCTTCCTGCTCAGCCTCTGCCTCGGGCCTCAGTCAGGGATGCCTGGAGCAGCTGGAGGAGAAGGCCTCTGGGCTGAGGAAGCAGCTGGCCAAGGCCCGGGAGGCTCTGAGCACAGCACATCTGCAGAGGGACCTCCTGGAGAGGGAGAGGGAGAGCCTGCGTGGAGCCCTTGCCCGGGTAGGCGCTGCTCCGGGGTGCCTGACCACACACCCTCTCTCTTTGACTGCCTGGACTCCCAGAGTCCCTGGCTGGTAGGGTCCGGCCTTGTGATGTTCTCCACCTTGCTGGCCACACCTGCTTCACAGGGTCCCTCCCCTCCTTCTGGCGGGAGCTCTGATCTGTCAGGGGAATCTGAAAGCCTTCCCTGGAGTAACAGCTGCCCCCCCCACCAGGCGGAGTCCAGCAACGCTGACCTGGAGCGGCGGGTGACGCGTCTGAAGTCGGAGGGACAGGAGCAGCGGGACTCTCTGGCCAGCATGGCCGCCCTGATGGAGGGTCTGGCCCAGGACAAAGGCACCCTGACCCACCGAGTTCTCCAGGTGGGGCCGGCGGGGCCGGGGAGGGGCCCTGTGCCCTCACCCAGCCCTCCAGGTGTTTCTGTGGCTGAGAGCGGGTGCGGGCGGGGGTGGGGATGGCAGGCCGGGTGGAGCGGTGCGTCCGCGCGCGGGGGCTGACCACAGACCCCTGCACGGCCGGGCAGCTGGAGCAGGAGCGGGACCAGCTCCGCCGGCAGCAGAGGGCGGCCGAGCAGGAGCTCGTGAGCATCGGGGAGCAGCTGGTACGGAGGGAGCAGCAGCTGGAGCGAGCGGAGGCCGAGCGGACCGGCCTCCGGGAAGCCTGTGAGCACCTGGAGCAGCGGCAGGAGCGGCTGGAGGAGCAGGTGGCCCTGCTCAGGCTGGAGCGGGCCCGGGGGCAGCAGCGGGCGGACCAGGTGAGCCGGGCAGGGGGCGGGGCCTGGCGGGCGGGGCCAGGGGGGCAGTGGTGGGCGGGGCCAGGCGGGTGGGCGGGGCCGGGCGGGGGGCGGGGCCAGTGGTGGGCGGGGCTGGGGCCAGGCAGGTGAGCGGGCCAGGCGGGTGGGCGGGGCCAGTGGTGGGCGGGGCTGGGGCCAGGCAGGTGGGCGGGGCCAGGCGGGTGGGCGGGGCCAGGCGGGTGGGCGGGGCTGGGGCCAGGCTGGGGGTGGGCCCGGGTTGGGGGGATGTGGGTGGGGCGAGGGGCCGGGCCGGGTTCAAGGGTCCAGGCTGTGGGCGGTGCCATGGGCAGGCTGTGGGTGGGGCCGGGCGGAGGGCGGGGCTGGGACGGGCAGAGGGCGGGGCGGAGGCGGAGTTCCCATCCAGTCCTGCGGCTCTGGCGCCGGGAGGGAGGGGAAGCCCCGGAGGGAGGGGGAGCCCCGGAAGGAGGGGCAGCCCCGGAGGGAGGGGGAGCCCCGGAGGGAGGGGGAGCCCCGTAACTTTCCAGCCTCGGTGCAGCAGCGACCTGGCGGGCTGCGGGCTGATTCCGCGCGGGGCCAGGCGGGGCACCGGGCGTGCAGAAGAGATTCGGACCAGGCCTGCGCGGCGTCCTGCCCGGGTCCCGTCCAGGCCCCGGGCTCCGGCCTGGGCCGCGCGCCCGGGCCTCGTCCCCGGCCGCCCCTCGGGCCCGGGCCTCGTCCCCGGCCGCCCCTCGGGCCCGGGCCTCGTCCCCGGCCGCCCCTCGGGGTCGAGCACCCGGGCCTCGTCCCCGGCCGCCCCTCGGGCCCGGGCCTCGTCCCCGGCCGCCCCTCGGGCCCGGGCCTCGTCCCCGGCCGCCCCTCGGGCCCGGGCCTCGTCCCCGGCCGCCCCTCGGGCCCGGGCCTCGTCCCCGGCCGCCCCTCGGGCCCGGGCCTCGTCCCCAGCCGCCCCGGCCGGCCCTCGGAAGCCGTCCCGCTGAGTCCCGGCCGTCCATTTTCAGGCTCCTTTTTCCGGTGTTTTCCCTCCCCCTGTTGAAGGAGGGTGGGCGCGTGGTCGGCGGATCCTGGGGTCACCGCTGGGGTCACCGCCCCCGCCGCCCGGCTCCCAGACCCGCCCCGAGGCCGCGCCCCGGCTGCCCCGGCGGGCCTCGATCCCTCGCCCTCGGATCTCGGCCTCCTGAGCAGCCCGCGGTACCCGCGCCCGGCCTGCTTTTGAGTTAGGACTTCGTGTTCTGACTGCGGGGGTATAGGAGCTCTTCGTGTCTCCGTGAATGCTCTCAAACTTGTCCTTCGTGATGTGTGCGCACGTGCGCATACACCGTGCGTCAAACGTGATGTGTTCACATGTGCGTGCACCGTGCGTCACGCGTGATGTGTTCACACATGTGTGCATACAGCGTGCGTCGCACGTGATGTGTTCACACATGTACGTGCACCGTGCGTCGCACGTGATGTGTTCACACATGTGTGCATACAGCGTGCGTCGCACGTGATGTGTTCACACATGTGCACACGCACCGTGCGTCACACGTGATGTGTTCACACATGTGCACACACTGTGCGTCACGCGTGGTGTGTTCACACATGTGGATACACTGTGCATCACATGTAATGTGTTCACACATGTGCACGCACTGTGCGTCACGCGTGATGTGTGCGCACACCGTGCGTCACACGTGATGTGTTCACACATGTACGTGCACCGTGCGTCACACGTGATGTGTTCACACATGTGCACGCACCGTGCGTCACGCGTGATGTGTTCACACGTGCACACACCGTGCGTCACGCGTGATGTGTTCACACATGTGCACACACCGTGCGTCACACGTGATGTGTTCACACATGTGCACGTACCGTGCGTCACACGTGATGTGTTCACACATGCGCACACACTGCGTCACACGTGATGTGTTCACACATGTGCGTGCACCGTGCGTCACACGTGATGTGTTCACACATGTGCACACACCGTGTGTCTCACGTGATGTGTTCACACATGTGCACATACTGTGCGTCACACGTGATGTGTTCACACGTGTGCACACACCGTGCGTCACGCGTGATGTGTTCACACGTGTGCACACACCGTGTGTCACATGTGATGTGTTCACACATGTGCACATACTGTGTGTCACACGTGATGTGTTCACACGTGTGCACACACTGCGTCACACGTGATGTGTTCACACATGTGCACACACCGTGCATCACGCGTGATGTGTTCACACATGTGCACACACCGTGTGTCACACGTGATGTGTGTGTTCACACATGTGCACACACCGTGCATCACGCGTGATGTGTTCACACATGTGCACATACTGTGCATCACACGTGATGTGTTCACACATGTGCATACACTGTGTCACACGTGATGTCTTCACACATGCGCACGTACCGTGCATCACACGTGATGTGTTCACACATGTGCACACACTGTGCGTCACGCGTGATGTGTTCACACATGTGCACGTACCGTGCGCCACACGTGATGTGTTCACACATGTGCACGTACCGTGCGTCACACGTGATGTGTTCACACATGTGCACACACTGCGTCACACGTGATGTGTTCACACATGTGCGTGCACCGTGCGTCACACGTGATGTGTTCACACATGCGCACGTACCGTGCGTCACACGTGATGTGTTCACACATGCGCACGTACCGTGCGTCACACGTGATGTGTTCACACATGTGCATGCACCGTGTGTCATGCGTGATGTGTTCGCACATGTGCATACACCGTGTGTCACACTTACCGTCTCTGATGTCAGACAGGCACACTGTATCCTGTAACATGCTCATAGGAAATGAAGGCAGTTCTGCCAGTTGGGCTCGTCACCACTTGGGCCATGTCCCTAGCCTTCTGCTTCCCCCCTTTTGACTTGGGGTCTCATGGGCTGGCCCTGACCCCATTCTCCCCAGCTCCTCCGTGTATCTGGGAGGTAATGGGTACAGTTTCTGGACTCACCTCTTGTCCAGGCTGGTTTCAAGCATGGGTGGCTACATGGGTGAGCCTTTGCTTCTACTTCTTAATGGTGTTTTTGATGGACGTCAAAGTTTAACTTTGGAAAATTGCATCTTTAGTTTGTGACTAGTATTTCATAGGTTCAGGGGTTGGAGGCATGCTTCAGTTGGTAGAGCACTAGCCAGTGAGCAAAAGCACCAGGTACCAAGTTAAAGTCCCAGTCTTAGACCAAGAACAAAAGCAAAAGAAAAGTATTTCCCAGGTCCTGTCTGAGAACATTTGCCTAGCCCAAGAACAAGAAGACAGCCTCTTGTGGGTTTGTTGTTGTTGTTGTTTTGTCAGTTGTGGGTCTTGAACTCTGGGCCTGGGCACTGCACCTGAGCTCAACTCAGGGTGAGCACTCTACCACTTGAGCCACAGCGCCACTCCTGGTTTTCTGGCGGTTCATTGGAGATAGGAGTCTCACAATCACCCAGGGCTGGCTCTGAACCATGATCCTCAGATCTCAAGCTCTTCAGTAGCTAGGGTTACAGGCGTGAGCCACCAGCACCCAGCTGCTCCTGTGCTTTTGAGGGAGATGTGGTTTAGGTCTTCTACATGTCAAGTTAATCTGACATTCTGTCATTATGTTCTCTACACCAGCAGCAAACCCTCGTGCCCCACCCCAGCCCTGCTTAACCAGAAACTCTGTGGGTTTTCATTAGCCTGGGGCAATGAAGTGAGAGAGGTGGGAGCTAAGGCCCCCTGGCTTTCAGTTTAATATGCTGTTTACGTCTCCATTTCTAAGGGAGACTCTGTTTCCGTACTTGACTCGCCTAACAACCTCTCGAAAATGCATTGATCATTCATGTGAGGCTTGTTGGCCTGTGCAAACAGACCCATGCTTTCAACAAAACCACCCTAACTTCTAACCGCCTTCTAGTTCGCAGCCTAATGTGTGCTCCCTCCCTGGTTCTCTGGAGAGCTTGTTTAGAGCACAACTCCCTTGACAGAAGACCAGTGTTCCTCTATCGACAAAGGTGGTCATCTTTGACCTTGAGGTGTGCAGCTTGGGGAAGAGACGTACATGCAGGAAGGACACCTGTCTAGCCAGCACCATCAATGCCATCAAGCCAGTGTCACTGCCACCGTGTTCTGATCCACGTGCTCTAAGCCCTTTCTTTCTTTTTTTTTTTTTTTTTTTGGGTCCGGTCGTGGGGTCTGAACTCTGGGCCTGGGCGCTGTCCCTCAGCTCTTTTAACTCAAGGCTAGCGCTCTACCACTTGAGCCACAGCGCCACTTCCGGCTTTTTTCTTTTTGCTTATGTGGTGCTGAGGAATCGAACCCAGGGCCTCAGGCATGCAAGGCAAGTGCTCTACCACTGAGCCACCTTCCCAGCCCCTCTAAGCCCTTCCTTTACATCTCCATCTCCATCTTAGACTCTACTCATCAATTTTTAATTCCTTCCCCAGAAAAAGCCAGTTAGAGCCTTGATCAGGATTCTGTTGATGCCTTTTATCAGGACATTCCATTTTCTGAAAGGTTTTTTCAGAAATTAGTGATGGCCAGGGTTGAAAGTGTGGCTGGGTGATAAAGCACCTACCTGCAAGTACAGGACCTAAATTTACACACTATCTCACACACACACACATACACCATTAATTCCTTCTTGGTTATAAATTAATATCCATTTTAGATATTTTTGGATTCAGCTTATTATATTATGCTAAGGATTTTTGGGGGGGTCCGGTTGTGGGGCCTGAACTCTGGGCCTGGGCACTGTCCCTCAGCTCTTCAGCTCAAGGCTAGCGCTCTATCACTTGAGCCACAGCGCCACTTCCGACTTTTTTCTTTTTGCTTATGTAGTGCTGAGGAATCGAAACCAGGGTCTCATATATGCAAGGCAAGCGCTCTACCACTGAGCCACCTTCCCAGCCCCAATGCTAAGGATTTTTGTATCTTTATTAAATGAAGAGTATTGGTCTATAATTTTCTTATAACATCTTTATGAGAATTAGAATCTGGTAAGTTAAACATATGATGGAGCTTTTTTCTTGTCTTCGGTGTCTATTATACTCTTTAATTTCTGTACTTTTTCCTTTTCATGATTAAGTCTGAATATTGTTTGGTCTGTTGTCCAGATTATTAGACCTCTCTTCTGGATATTCTGACATTGAATCCATGTATTGATTTATTCTGATTGCTATAGTGTCAATGATGTCATGTGTACTTACTCTCCAGTTCTGTTGATTAAAGTCTACATCTTGTCAAGCCTCTTCTTTATCATATTAATCAATTGTTTAAAATTAATTATTTATTTCACTTATGTGGTGCTGGGGAATCGAACCCAGGGCCTCGTGCATGCAAGGCAAGAGCTCTACCACTGAGCCACCTTCCCAGCCCTGTAATCAACTGTTTTAAATCCTGTGTCCAGTAACCAGAAAATGCCTGTGTTTCTCTTCTGTTCTTTCCTGTGGTCCTGTCTTCAAGTAAGCCTGGTCATGTTGGTCAAATGCAAAACACACTGATGAAGGTTTTGTTACGTATAATTTAAAGATATGGAGGATGATGTTCTTCCAGGGAGGACTCGCTTTTGATTCTGACAGCGGTACAGGTGGAGGTGAGCTCCATTACCACCCGTGGCTGACTGACTGGCACCCGGGCTCCGTCTGTGTGCAGGTGGCGCGTTTCCGACACGCCCCTCCCCTGCCCCCAGCCCTTCTGTGAACATAAACTGAAACTTGGAACGTGTTGGTATCTCCACTTCTCAGCCCAAACTGTAGATTAGCAAATGCTTTAAGAGATGGAGACACTCAGTGGCAGGTTCGTTCCTGTCTGTCTTCTCCGGAGTTCCCAGCTCCCTCGGCCCCAGCTGCCTCCAGAGCACGCCAGGCCTCGCGGGAGGGTCAGGCCTCGCGGGAGGGCCAGGCCTCGCGGGAGGGCCAGGCCTGGGGTGCGTCCTGCAGTCTTCTACGCCGTGTGCCCGCCCTGCGCCTGGGGTCCCGCGGGCCGCGAGCTAGCTGTGGAGGCCGGCAGCTGGCTCCGTGTGGAGCCCTCGAGGGAGGGCCAGGCCTCGAGGGAGGGTCAGGCCTCGCGGGAGGGTCAGGCCTCGCGGGAAGGCCTGGGGTGCGTCCTGCAGTCTTCTACGCCGTGTGCCCGCCCTGCGCCTGGGGTCCCGCGGGCCGCGAGCTAGCTGTGGAGGCCGGCAGCTGGCTCCGTGTGGGGATGGCACCGTCGTATCAGGAGTGGAGCCGGTTCTTCCCAGCCCCCCTTCCTCGCTGGAGCCCCTCCCCCATCCCTCTGCTCCCTGCCACCCTGTGTCCCTTCCCTCAGGTCACACGGGAGAAACAAGCCCTGGAGGAGCAGTTGGCACAGAGGCTGCAGGAGCAGGAGGCCCAGACGGAGGCTCTCCAGCAAGCTCTTGGAGAGAAGGACGCTCTGTCTGAGGAGAAGGCCCAGCTACTGAGCAGGCAGAACGCCCTGGAGAGGCAGGGCCAGCTGGCGACGGAGGAGGCCGCAGATCTCAGGTACCCGTGGGCCTAGGGAGCTCAGCTGAGAGCCCGTGGGGGGGGGGGGTAGGCCCGGTGGGAGGGGGTAGGCCAGTGGTGGGGGGGATAGACCTGGCGGTGGGGGGGGTAGGCCCGGTGGGAGGGGGTAGGCCGGCGGTGGGGGGGGGTAGGCCCAGCGGTGGGGGGGGTAGGCCTGGCGGTGGGGAGAGTAGGCCGGCAGTGGAGGGGGATGGGGGGTAGGCCCAGCGGTGGGGGGGGTGGGAGGGGTAGGCCGGGCGGCTGGGGAGGTAGGCCGGCGGTGGGAGAGGTAGGCCCGGCGGTGGGGGGAGTAGGCCGGCAGTGGAGGGGGATGGGGGGGTAGGCCCGGCGGGGGGGGGGGTGGGAGGGGTAGGCCCGGCGGGGGGGGTGGGGGGGTAGGCCCGGCGGTGGGGGGGGTGGGGGGGGGGGTAGGCACGGCGGTGGGGGGGGTGGGGGGGTAGGCCCGGCGGGGGGGGTGGGGGGGTAGGCCCGGCGGTGGGGGGGGTAGGCCCGGCGGGGGGGGGGTGGGAGGGGTAGGCCCGGCGGGGGGGGGGGGGTAGGCCCGGTGGTGAGGCAGGGAGAGTGTGCGCCAGCTGTGACCTGGGGCGTCTGGAAGGGAGGGGTGCTGGGTGCCGGGTGATCTGGAAGAGGTGTAGGTCCGGAGAGAGCCTGGGAATGCCGTCCTGAGGACCTGGGCATTCCCAGGCAAAGCCATGTGAGAAGCCAAGTCCACGTCCTCTAGAGGAGACAAGGCAGGCTTCAGGAGGGGGAGAATTCAAGGCCAACATGAAAGGAGGATTTTCTCTTCCAGAGGGAAGGAGTACTAAGCCCTGAGCACTCACAAGTAGCCGGCGATGCATGGTGCTTACAAGGGGAGGGACTGGGACTGGAGCCAGACACTGTGGCAGAGCAAGGTTTCGGGGGCTCAGCACCAGGTGCTCTGCCCCTGGGATGGGCAGCAGCATGCAGGGTGCAGGGACTGCAGCAGGGCCTGCCCGGGTTGATAGGGCATCGCCTGGGGATTTGTGGTGTGTGCACTGTGCTTGACCACCGAGTGTCCGTGCCTCTCCTCGGCTGATTTCTCCCTGTGTGCGGACTCAGCACCGGTGGACGGTGACAGGTGGTCAGTCCTTCAAGCCATTGTTTCCCCTTCGGGGAAGAGGCACGTTGTGTGTTGGTGTGTGTTGTTACAGGTGCTTTCTGACCGATGGTGCCTGTGTGCACGCACGCAGGGCATGCGGCACGCGGAGCTGCAGCTTGGCAGCTCGTTTGGGGGGTGAGTCCTCCCACAGCAAGGAGGTTGAGGATAGCGTTCTCATCCTTGTTAACACCTGCGCGGTGCTCCAGAGCCCAGAAAGTTTAAATGCTCAAAACGTTCTCCTCTGTGTTGGCGCTTTGGTCAAGTCCAAGTACTTCCCTGTGGAAAGCCACAGCGGGCACCCCTGGAGGCCAGCTTTTCTCCAGAACACCCCCCCCCCAACGTAGAATCAGAAAGTCAAACAGAATCCCGTCTGGGCCTCCCAAAAGAGCCCCCGCCAACACTGCACGTTGCTACTGTGCCGAGTTTCGGTTGATCTCCTGGGCGATGCACACCACTGCCCGGCTGTGACCTGAGTCCCCGGGCTCTCGCAGGAGGAGCAGGTTTCCTGTTTGTAGATCCTTGTCTTTCCTTTGTGAATAACACTCATCTTTCTCATGTTTTCCGTAGGATCAACTGACGTTCTGTGATTTATTGGCAGGAGCTTTTTGCCTATGATCAATGCTTTGTTTTGTGTGTTTGGGGCAGATTTCCTTCCAGCTCTGCTGCTGTCTTCTAAGCTGGTTCACGGGTTCCTCCCAGGAGGCCCAGCCCCCTTCCCTCCGTGTGGCTCTGTTGGCTTTTCTTTCTTGTTTCTTTTCTCCTTTTCTTTTGCTTAAGAAGACTGTAAGTTTTTTCCTGACTTAGTTGCTGTGAGTGAAGTTTATTTTTGTTTCTGTATTTCCCCTTTTGTTCCACCTGAAGTTCATTCTCAGGGAGCTGAGATGCCTGTTGGTTTTCTCATCTTGCACCTGCCCCAGGCTCGTCCGCCCCTCCCGCCCCTCCCACGGACGGCCTGTCACTCCATGCTGCTTTGCAGGGTCCAGAGGGACTGTCTGGAGAGCAGCCTCTCTGAGGCCCGAGGGCTGGCGAAGCAGCTGCGGGCCCAACAGGAGCAGCTGGAGAGAGAGGCACAGCATGCCCAGCTGGGCTGGCAGGCCTTGCAAGGTGCTCCGGCGGGCGGCTCCCCTCCCCTTCTCCCGCCACCCAGCCCGGGCTGGGGGGAGCCCAGTGCCCCAACAGCTGCTCTCATTCGCTGAATGCCGGGGCCTGAAGGAGTCGGCTGCTCCTCATCTATATGGCACAGGTGCCCTGCTCAGCCTGCCCCGGTGCTGGTCCTGGGCTCAGGACTGGGGTGCAGCCAGTGCCCTCCCCCCATTCCCTGTGCCAGCACCCCTTCTCACGCCCCCCGCCACCTGCTGGCGGCAGACAGAGCACGCACCCATCTCTCCGTGGGGGTTGGCGAGGCCCGCAGGCACGTGGGGACATGCCTGTCACTTCACAGTGGAGACAGAGCGGCTAAAGAAGGACTGGGAGGTCCGGGAGATGGAGCTGCAGCAGCAGCTGGCACAGAAGGAGCGAGACACACAGCAGGCCCTGCAGACCCTGGAGTCAGCCCACCGAGAGGACCTGGCTCGGCTCCAGCGAGAGAAGGTCCGCCTCTGTGGTAGTGCCGTGACCCCAGGAAGGGGGTGGGGTGGAGGCGGACTGCCCTCAGCTCCTGTGAGCCGCACCAGGCCTTCACAGGGGTAGTGCGGGTGTCCAGCCTCACAGAAGAGACCAGGCCTTGAACTTGGCTGCCCTGGCTGAAGGCTGGAGACTAGACAAGGCCATGCCTATCTAGAACAAACTATGCACACGTCCATCTGCCCATCCACTCCTCTGCCCATCCAGTCACCCACCCACCTACCCATGCACCCATGCACCCATCCATACACCCATCCTCACACCCACCCCCCTATCTACCCATGCACCCATCCACCCAACCCTCTATCCATCCAGTGACCAATCCAACCATCCATCCATCCATCCACATGCATCCATTCATCTATCCACCGTCCACCCATCTATCCATCCATTCATGCATCCACTCATCCATGCATCCATCCATGCCCCTGCCTGTCATGGGACATGGTAGAGGTCCAGAAGAAATGTAGGACCTGTTAGATTAATTTAGGATGGTGGATGCCCGGACCTAGAGAGAGGCCTTCCCCAGCTCCTGCTTGGGGTACTCTGGAGAAGCATAGGGAAGAGCAGCTGGCAGGCCCATCCAGCCTTGGTGTCCTGTGGGGTGAGTCTCACCTGCTGGTCCCCAACTCCCTGACCTCACGGTGTGTCCTTTGCTTTGGCCAGGAGACCCTCAGTCTGTGCCTGTCAGAAGAGAAGGAGGAGGCCGCACGCCAACTGAAGCAGAAGACAGAGCTGATGGCAAAAAGCGCAGCTGAGAAGGAGGCTCTGGAGGAAGAAATTCAGAGCCTGAAACAGGACCAGGACGAGAGCCTCCTCCAACTGGAGCATGAGATGCAGCAGGTGACGAGGGCGGAGGGGCCCACCCAGCTCATCGTCCGCGGGGACCCAGCCCAGGGCCTCACAAGGCCTACCCAGGCAACGGACACCGCTGCTTTAGTGTTCAAAGCAGTCCTGAGAGACAGGCACCAGCTGCTCATCTACACGTGCACATCCATCCATGCAACATCCACACAGCATGCGTGTGTGCTCACACCTATAGACTGATGAACACCCACCTGCTCATCCATGTGTGTACACACATACACCATCCATGCAACATCCACACAGCATGCGTGTGTGCTCACACCTATAGACTGATGAACACCACCTGCTCATCCATGTGTGTACACACATACACCATCCATGCAACATCCACACAGCATGCGTGTGTGCTCACACCTATAGACTGATGAACACCACCTGCTCATCCACGCGTGTACACACATACACCATCCATGCAACATCCACACAGCATGCGTGTGTGCTCACACCTATAGACTGATGAACACCACCTGCTCATCCACGCGTGTACACACATACACCATCCATGCAACATCCACACAGCATGCGTGTGTGCTCACACCTATAGACTGATGAACACCACCTGCTCATCCACGTGTGTACACACATACACCATCCATGCAACATCCACACACCATGCGTGTGTGCTCACACCTATAGACTGATGAACACCACCTGCTCATCCACGCGTGTACACACATACACCATCCATGCAACATCCACACAGCATGCGTGTGTGCTCACACCTACAGACTGATGAACACCACCTGCTCATCCATGTGTGTACACACATACACCATCCATGCAACATCCACACAGCATGCGTGTGTGCTCACACCTATAGACTGATGAACACCACCTGCTCATCCACGTGTGTACACACATACACCATCCATGCAACATCCACACAGCATGTGTGTATATTCACACCTACAGACTGATGAACACCACCTGCTCATCCATGTGTGTACACAGATACACCATCCATGCAACATCCACATAGCATGCGTGTGTGCTCACACCTATAGACTGATGAACACCACCTGCTCATCCATGTGTGTACACACATACACCATCCATGCAACATGCACACAGCATGCGTGTGTGCTCACACCTACAGACTGATGAACACCACCTGCTCATCCACGTGTGTACACACATACACCATCCATGCAACATCCACACAGCATGCGTGTGTGCTCACACCTATAGACTGATGAACACCACCTGCTCATCCATGTGTGTACACACATACACCATCCATGCAACATCCACACAGCATGCGTGTGTGCTCACACCTATAGACTGATGAACACCACCTGCTCATCCATGTGTGTACACACATACACCATCCATGCAACATCCACACAGCATGCGTGTGTACTCACACCTATAGACTGATGAACACCACCTGCTCATCCATGTGTGTACACACATACACCATCCATGCAACATCCACACAGCATGCGTGTATATTCACACCTACAGACTGATGAACACCACCTGCTCATCCATGCATGTACATGCATGCAACATCCATGCAACATCCACACACCATGCGTGTGTGCTCACACCTATAGACTGATGAACACCACCTGCTCATCCACACGTGTACACACTTACACCATCCATGCAACATCCACACAGCATGCATGTGTGCTCACACCTATAGACTGATGAACACCACCTGCTCATCCATGCATGTACATGCATGCAACATCCATGCAACATCCACACACCATGCGTGTGTGCTCACACCTATAGACTGAACACCACCATGTACATGCATACACCATCCATGCAACATCCACACACCATGCATATATACTCACACCTATCCACCTACACAGCATTCACAGACCTATCTACCCATTCATCTCACTGGTTCATCTGTCCGTTCCTACACCCACACACTCATCCACACATCCATCCCACCACATCCATGCATCCACACACTCATACACACTGCCAACCACTCACCCATTCCCCACCCATCCCTCAGCTGACTTGTGCATCATCCTTCCACTCACCGGAAAATCCATCTTCCTTCCTACACTTCCAGTATCCACTCCACATAAGACCAGCATCCCCAGACCCAGGTGTCCATCCACACGTCTGACCACACGTCTGTTCACACACACCCAAGGTGTCCATCCACACGTCTGACCACACGTCTGTTCACACACATCCAAGGTGTCCATCCACACGTCTGACCACACGTCTGTTCACACACACACACCCAAGGTGTCCATCTACACGTCTGACCACACGTCTGTTCACACACACACACCCAAGGTGTCCATCTACACGTCTGACCACACGTCTGTTCACACACACCCAAGGTGTCCATTTACACGTCTGACCACACGTCTGTTCACACACACACACCCAAGGTGTCCATCTACACATCTGACCACACGTCTGTTCACACACACCCAAGGTGTCCATCCACACGTCTGACCACACGTCTGTTCACACACACCCAAGGTGTCCATCTACACGTCTGAGCACACGTCTGTTCACACACACCCAAGGTGTCCATCTACAGGTCTGACCACACGTCTGTTCACACACACCCAAGGTGTCCATCTATACGTCTGACCACACGTCTGTTCACACACACACACCCAAGGTGTCCATCCACACGTCTGACCACACGTCTGTTCACACACACACACCCAAGGTGTCATCTACACATCTGAGCACACGTCTGTTCACACACACCCAAGGTGTCCATCTACACATCTGACCACACGTCTGTTCACACACACACACCCAAGGTGTCCATCTACACGTCTGACCACACGTCTGTCCACACACACCCAAGGTGTCCATCTACACGTCTGACCACACGTCTGTTCACACACACCCAAGGTGTCCATCCACACGTCTGACCACACGTCTGTTCACACACACCCAAGGTATCCATCTACACGTCTGACCACACGTCTGTCCACACACACCCAAGGTGTCCATCCACACGTCTGACCACACGTCTGTTCACACACACCCAAGGTGTCCATCTACACGTCTGACCACACGTCTGTTCACACACACACACCCAAGGTGTCCATCCACACGTCTGACCACGTCTGTTCACACACACCCAAGGTATCCATCTACACGTCTGACCACACGTCTGTCCACACACACCCAAGGTGTCCATCCACACGTCTGACCACACGTCTGTCCACACACACCCAAGGTGTCCATCTACACGTCTGACCACACGTCTGTTCACACACACCCAAGGTGTCCATCCACACGTCTGACCACACGTCTGTTCACACACACCCAAGGTGTCCATCTACACGTCTGACCACACGTCTGTTCACACACACCCAAGGTGTCCATCCACATGTCTGACCACATGTCTGTTCACACACACACACCCAAGGTGTCCATCTACACGTCTGACCACACGTCTGTTCACACACACCCAAGGTGTCCATCTACACATCTGACCACACGTCTGTTCACACACACACACCCAAGGTGTCCATCTACACTTCTGACCACACGTCTGTCCACACACACCCAAGGTGTCCATCCACACGTCTGACCACACGTCTGTTCACACACACCCAAGGTGTCCATCTACACGTCTGAGCACACGTCTGTTCACACACACCCAAGGTGTCCATCTACACGTCTGACCACACGTCTGTTCACACACACACACCCAAGGTGTCCATCTACACATCTGACCACACGTCTGTTCACACACACATACCCAAGGTGTCCATCTACACGTCTGACCACACGTCTGTTCACACACACACACCCAAGGTGTCCATCCACACGTCTGACCACACGTCTGTTCACACACACCCAAGGTGTCCATCTACACGTCTGAGCACACGTCTGTTCACACACACCCAAGGTGTCCATCTACACGTCTGACCACACGTCTGTTCACACACACCCAAGGTGTCCATCCACACGTCTGACCACACGTCTGTTCACACACACACACCCAAGGTATCCATCTACACATCTGACCACACGTCTGTTCACACACACCCAAGGTGTCCATCTACACGTCTGACCACACGTCTGTCCACACACACCCAAGGTGTCCATCCACACGTCTGACCACACGTCTGTTTACACACACCCAAGGTGTCCATCTACACATCTGACCACACGCCTGTTCACTCACACACACCGAAGGTGTACATCTACACATTGGCCATGTACCCATGAACTGCCGAGCCATCCATTCAGCCACTCGTCCGACCATCCACCCTTCCCTTCGCCCACTCACTGAAACATCCTTTCCACGGTCTACACACTCAGCTGCCCACTTCCACACTCAACTGTCCACCCACCTAACATGCTCTGTCCACTCAGCCTGATTACTGAGTCATGCCTTCAACTCTCAATGTCTCCCTCTGGACTGCCAACCCAGACACACACACCCTGGCCATCTTCCCATCCCACAGACAGACTCAGAAAGGGCCAAAAAAGCCACCAGTGGAGTCCAGACTTCTCCATGCACTGGGACTCTGAAGCGCTCACTGTCAGGAGCATGGACGGATGAGCACACACATCCGTATGCCCATCGCTGGTGTGGAATGACCACATGGGTGCACGTTACGGGTTGCAGGGAGGAGCTGCGGTGGCTGGGAGAGCCGGGGCTTCCCGTCAGACTCCACGCTGCTCATTGTCCCCCACAAAGCTGTTAGAAGCCCCGTTTTAGTGGTGGAAATCTGAGATCCTCCCAGGTCCATCGCTGGTCTAGGGCGCAGCGGCACCGCTGGGCACCGAGGCCCACACTATTTCCTGCCTGCCCCTCTGCTCCTGAGGTAGAAGCAGAGGCCTTAGAGAGAGCCGGCGGGGCACAAAAGGAGCCGGGACAGCCTGCCGTGTGTGCGGCACAGGCTGCGTGTGAGCAGGCAGCCAGGCTCACAGGGAGTCACAGGCTTCACACACCTGGCTCAGGCCCGCGGGTGAGCAGGCGTGATTGCAGAGGGCTGCGGGAATGAGTCTGCAGCCAGGGAGAGCAGCAGGAGGCTAAGGACTTGGGTGACGGCAGAGACCCCCGAGGCGGAGGCCTTGATGCAGGAGAGCCATGCATGGGAGGAGGCTGTGGAGGCTCAGGGCCCCATGCAGCCGCCCTGCTCCCACCCAAGACCACCAGCTGGGCCACGCCGCCCCTCGGGCTTCTACAATCACAGCTTCTCGGAGTCACACTGAGCCCGAGGAAAGGTGAGCTCAGTCAGAGGAAACAGGCTAAGAAGATGGACAGGCTCTGCAAGCCATGGCCTTCCTGCACCCACAGCAACACCGTGCAGAAGGCCAGGCCTGCAGGAGTCTCGTCACTTCAGCTGAAGGACACTCCCTGGCCTCCGCCGTCGGATTAGAAAGGCGAGGACGCCACGGCCAGGTGTACAGACCTCCCCAGGAACCAAGGCCCCGTCAGTCACCAGAACTGGAGGCCTTGGCAGAGAAGAGCACTGCCCGGTGAAGATGCAGCACATGGCTTGGGGACCATCTTCCCCTCGACTCTTCCTGCTCCGCAGCCTGTGGGGGCCAGCGGCCCTGTGGCTGCCAGATTTCTTGCCCTCCAGGAAGGGCGGATTCCTGAAGAGCTCGGAGCGCAGGGAGAACAAAGCAAGCCCAGGCTCCTGGAGGCGGAGGGCCCGGGAGGAAGCATGGGTGCTTTGAAGGCCATTCAAGGCAGAGCCTCCACGCGACCCCTCCCGCTCCTCGGGGAGTTGTGGTCAGTGTCCTTACATTCCTCTGCCGTGCCACGGCGCATGCTCACGCTAACCTCCTGAAGCCAGCCCAGCCGCCCCGCAGTGACAGGCTCAGCCCCACATCCAGCTGAGGCGGTGGCCCGATCTCCAGGATACCCACACTTCTGACCAACGGGACGACAGTATGCAAGTGCACTAGAATGAAGCCCAAAACTCAAGAAAGTTCCACGCTGACTGCTGCCGTTTTGCTTATTGTCTTGTTTTTGAAGTACTAGGGTTTGAACTCGGGCCCTGCACTTGCTGGACAGGTGCTCTGCTACATGAGCCAGGCCCCCAGCCCTTTGGGGCGTTACTTAGCTCTTTTTCAGACAGGCTGTGGTGCTTTTCGTCCAGGGCTGACCTGGACCATGTGCTCCATCCTCTGCCTTCTGTGTAGCTGGGATTGCAGGTGTGAGTCCCGCATCTGGCCGTGAGGTAAACGGCCCGGCAGGACCCTGCCTTGTGCTGCAGCACACACTCGGCCCGAGGGCCTTGGATGGGCACTGATGCGGTCCTCCACCCTCCACAGCCCTGCTCAGGAGCAGCGTTCCACCCTGGGGCTGGAGCAAAGCTCAGCCTCTCTCCGCCGGCCGAGTGTCGGCTCATGTCACCCGCAAGGCAGGCGTGTGGGAGAATTACCTCCATCCCAGCTCCTTGTGGTGCATTGTAGGACTGCCTGAAGACATGGGGCTGGGGGCATAAAGCCCAGATCTGCCCTGGAAAGCGCCGGACAGGGACCCTGCAGACGGGCCTGGGGGGTGGACGCAATGGGGGGGTGGACGCGATGGGGGGGCAGCAGGACGGGCCTGGGGGGGTGGACATGATGGGGGGGAGGCAGTGGGACAGACGGGGACCCTGCGGACAAGCCTGGGGGGTGGACGCGATGGGGGACAGAGGGACGGGCCTGGGGGGTGGACGCGATGGGGGACAGAGGGACGGGCCTGGGGGGTGGACACAATGGGGGGTGGACGCAATGGGGGACAGAGGGACGGGCCTGGGGGGTGGACGCGATGGGGGGTGGATGCAATGGGGGACAGAGGGACGGGCCTGGGGGTGGACACAATGGGGGGTGGACGCGATGGGGGGACAGAGGGACGGGCCTGGGGGGTGGACGCGATGGGGGTCAGCGGGACGGACCTGGGGGGTGGACGTGATGGGGGTCAGCAGGACGGGCCTGGGGGGTGGACGCGATGGGGGCAGTGGGGAGAGAGCAGGTGTTTTGGGCGAAGGCCTCCCGGCAGCGCAGTGTGGGACGGGTGCGCCGTGGTCACCCAGCCCTGGGGAAGGAGGGCTCGCCCCTCCCCTGGGACCCGCTCTCACGCCCCCACCTGTGCAGGCGCTGTCCGTGAAGGAGGCGGAGAGGACGGAGCTGAGCGGCGAGCTCTCTGGAGCTGTGCGGACCCTGGAGAGGGTGCGGCAGGAGGCCCGGAGCCAGCAGGCACAAGCTGAGGTGAGACGGACCCAGCTGCCGTGCGGCCCGCGGGAGCCCGGACCCAGGGCACCCTTCCCGCCCAGTCCCAGCAGCCTGGCCCCGCCCCGCGCCTTCCTGAGCCTCAGTTTCCCTGGCATCTTCAGGTCTTTGGTAAAGGAGACGGTTCTCTGGATGGCTGGGGAAACCGAGACTGCATTCAGGCCCCTTTCCACAGCAGCCCTGGGTCTTAGGGCTCCCTGCCCTGGAAGCTGTCCACGGCCGGGGGGAAGGGCCAGCCCAGGTCACCTGCCAGCCAGCAGGCCAACTGCTGGGCCACAGAGTGTGGGCCTGTCTGTCTGTCTGTCTGTGTGCCGTGCTGAGGGTGGCAGAGCCCTGCAGGTGACATGCACGAGGCGTGGGAGCCACTGGACGGTCCATCCAGGGGGGAGCTGGCACGGCCCTCTGCAAAGCCTCCGCTCCTGCTGTCTGCACTGGGCAGGGGTGGTGGGCAGGGGGAGGCAGGTGGCCTGGGGAGGCTCTGACCATGGGGTCGGCCCCAGAGTGGTGAGCAGGGCAAGAGCGATGGGGGCCTCACCCTCACCCACCAGCCGGGAAGACCTCACCCCTACTCAGAGCCCCGGGGCCGAGCAGGGCGGGCCTCACCCCTACTCAGAGCCCCGGGGCCGAGCAGGGCGGGCCTCACCCCTACTCAGAGCCCCGGGGCCGAGCAGGGCGGGCCTCACCCCTACTCAGAGCCCCGGGGCCGAGCAGGGCGGGCCTCACCCCTACTCAGAGCCCCGGGGCCGAGCAGGGCGGGCCTCACCCCTACTCAGAGCCCCGGGGCCGAGCAGGGCGGGCCTCACCCCTACTCAGAGCCCCGGGGCCGAGCAGGGCGGGCCTCACCCCTACTCAGAGCCCCGGGGCCGAGCAGGGCGGGCCTCACCCCTACTCAGAGCCCCGGGGCCGAGCAGGGCGGGCCTCACCCCTACTCAGAGCCCCGGGGCCGAGCAGGGTGGGCCTCACCCCTACTCAGAGCCCCGGGGCTGAGCAGGGTGGGCCTCAGGCTCACCAGCTCTGCAGATCTCACCAGAAAGCGCCCATGCTCCCAGCCTCACTCCCCCCCACATACACACCAGTTTCTGCCCCACGCACAGGCCTGGAAGGCTCCTCTGGCCGGGAGGGCTGTGACCTCGGCCCAAGGCTGTACTTCCTCTCCAGCTGTGGGCAGAAAACCAGGAAAGCCTCCTGACTCTCGGGGAGCTGCAGCTGCCAGCCCAGAGCCTCTGCAGGAGCACTGCTTACAGAGCCTTTTCTTGTGCTGGCCAAGCCGCCCCCTTGGGCTGGGACCAGGCCTGCCAACAGGGCTCCCTGAGGGGCTCATTAAGGGTTCTTTTGCCACCTCAGCTCAGAAAATAGAACTTAAAACCCACAGAGAGGGGGAAGTACAGCCAGAAACACCAGCTGTGGGTGACGGGGAGTGGAGCCAGGGACACACAGGGGGCCTCCGGGCCTGAGTCACCACCACCTCCCACAGCTGGTCCCCTGGGTCCACCCCAGGGCTGCAGCCTCACGGAGCCACGACCTTGCCGCCAAGATGACTTGTGCCGGCCCAGAGCGACAGTGGGGACCAGGGGCCAAAGCAGCACCTCCACGGCTCCTTTGCCCAGAGCGGGAGTCAAAGCTGATGGGAGTGGCCTTGAACCGATGGAAGTGGGCTTGGCCTGATGAGCGACCATGGGCAGTAGCCTGCAGTAGACAGGGTTGGGGACATGTCTCCACAGGATGCCCAGGGCTCCTGCAACACCAGTCCAGCTCCATACCTGTGCCTGCACCGCCCTCGGCTCCTGAGCTGCACAGGCCCACGGGCTCACAGCCCACAGGCCACAGGCCCACAGGCCACAGGCCACAGGCCACAAGCCCACGTGCTTAAAGCCCACAGGCCACAGGCTCACAGGCCCACAGGCCATAAGCCCACAGCCCGCAGCCCACAGGCCACAGGCCACCAGCCAGCAGCCCACAGGCCACAGGCCCACAAGCCCACAGGCCTACAGCCCGCAGCCCACAGCCCACAGGCCCATAGGCCACAGGCCACAGGCCCACAGCCCACAGGCCTACAGCCCACAGGCCCACAGGCCACAGGCTCAGAGTCCCATAGCCCATAGGCCTACAGCCCACAGGCCACAGCCCACAAGCCCACCGGCCCACAGGTCACAGCCCACAGGCCACAGCCCACAAACCCACAGCCCACAGGCCCACAGGTCACAGCCCACAGGCCACAGCCACAAGCCCACAAGCCCACAGGCCACAGGCCACAGCCCACAGGCTCACAGCCCACAGCCCACAGGCTCACAACCCACAGGCCACAGCCCACAGGCCACAGGCCCACAGGCTCACAGGCTCACAGGCCCACAGACCTACAGCCCACAGGCCACAAGCCACAAGCCCACAGGCCCACAGGCCACAAGCTCACAGCCCACAGGCCACAGGCTCACAGGCCACAGGCCCACAGGCCACAAGCCACAAGCCCACAGGCCCACAGCCCACAGGCTCACAGCCCACAGGCCACAGGCTCACAGGCCCACAGGCCACAGGCCCACTGCCCACAGGCTCACAGCCCACAGGCCCACAGGCCACAGCCCACAGGCCACAGGCCCACAGCGCACAGGCCACAGCCCACAGGCCACAGCCCACAGGCCCACAGGCCCACAGGCCCACAGGCCCACAGGCCAGTAGTCAGGTGGGAAAGCCTCCCTGACTCAAACTCTGCCACTGCGGCCGGTTCAGTCCCCTCAGAAGGCTGGTCAGCCTCAGCAGAATGCGTCCAGGCTGAGCAGCTTGGCATCTTGTCTGTGCATAAGGAGGCGTTTCAAACCCTGCCCTCAGCCAAGTGGACCTGAGGACCCTTCCTTTGGGTACCTGCTGGTCAGCAGTGGCCAGCAGTGATCAGCAGTGGCCAGCGGTGATCAGCAATGATCAGCAATGATCAGCAGTGGCCAGCAGTGATCAGCAGTGGCCAGCAGTGACCAGCTGTGGTCAACAGTGGTCAGAAGTGGTCAGCAGGGAGAGCAGACGTGGGCTGCTGAGTCTGGTGTGCCAGCAGAGCTGTCAGCCGGGGCAGCGGCTGACCGGCCCGCAGAGGTCTGCACGTGTTCACAGTTGGCAGGAACAGACGTCCCCTAATTCCACCTGCCCACTGGATGGTTCCAGACACCAGTGGCCGGGGTCAGGGGACCAGCAGCAGCCAGCTCTCCCACACCCCCGCTGCAGCGCTGTACCCCACACCGGTGGCTGGGGCATCTCTTACAGGAGGGGCACCTCCTCCCCCTGTGCCCAGCGAGGCCTGAGCGGGGAGCACGCCTGGTGAGGACAGAGGCCCGGCCTCACTCCCGCTGCCCGGCTGGGGACACCGAGGTCCAGGGCCATTGTGGCTGGCCTGTGCACGTTGCTGACCCTCCTTCCTCCCAGCGGGGCGGGCAGGAACGCCTTGGGCCAGGCGGGTGGCAGTTTGCCCCATCCCCCGGAAGGCGTAAAGTGGGGAGGGGGTCCCCGCCCCTGACACAGGAGTGCCCTGTGCACTCCTTTCCTGGGGTCAGCGTGAGAGCCCTGCCTGGGCCCTGACCACCTCCCCAGTGACCCTGGCCCCTGCCTCCCCAGGCCACGGTGGGCGCCATGGCAGAGGAGCTGAGCGCCCTGCAGGCCCAGTTGGAGGCGGCCAGCTCCACCCACCAGAGAGAGGCTGCCGCCCTGAGCCAGAGGCTCAGGGAGATGGAGGCCATGAGGAGCCAGGCATGCAGAGAGGTAGGGGGCTGGCCTCCAGAGGAGGCGTGGAGGGCCGGTGTGGAGGACCGGAGTGGGGGGGCCAGTGTGGGAGCCGGTGTGGGGGGCCGAGGGCCGGCCGGTGTGAAGGGCCGGTGTGGGGGGCCAGTGTAGGGGGCGGGTGTGGGGGGCCGGCATGGGGGGCCGGTGTGGGGGCCGGTGTGGGGGGCCGGCATGGGGGGCCGGTGTGGGGGCCGGTGTGGGGGGCCAGTGTAGGGGGCCGGTGTGGGGGGCCGGCATGGGGGGCCGGTGTGGGGGGCTGGTGTGGGGGGCCAGTGTAGGGGGCCAGTGTGGGGGCCGGTGTGGGGGGCCGGTGTGGGGGGGCGGTGTGGGGGGCCGGTGTGGGGGGCTGGCATGGGGGGCCAGTGTAGGGGGCGGGTGTGGGGGGCCGGTGTGGGGGGGCGGTGTGGGGGGCCGGTGTGGGGGGCTGAGGGCCAGTGTGGGAAGCCGGTGTGGGGGCCGGTGTGGGGGGCCGGTGTGGGGGGCTGGTGTGGGGGGTCGAGGGCCGGTGTGGGGGGCCAGTGTGGGGGGCCGGCATGGGGGGCCGGTGTGGGGGCCGGTGTGGGGGGCCAGTGTAGGGGGCTGGTGGGGGGGCCTGTGTGGGGGGCCGGTGTGGGGGGCCAGTGTGTGGGGCCGGTGGGGGGGGGCCGAGGACCGGTGGGGGGGGGCCATGTGGAGGGCTGGTGTGGGGGCCGGTGGGGGGGGCCGAGGGCCGGTGGGAGGGGCCAGTGGGGGGGGCCAGTGTGGGGGCTGGTGTGGGGGCCAGTGGGGGGGCCGGTGGGGGGGCCCGTGGGCTGGGAGGAGGCTGGAGACATCTCCAGAATGGGTCAAACGGCACGGCACGGGCTCTGCAGCGGGAGCGGCCCGTGTGTGAGGGGAAGAGCCTGGCCTCAGCCAGAGTGCAGGCCTGAGGGAATGGGCGCCCGTGCAGGGGCGTCGCCTACGCTGGGCTGGCCTGAGGCCCACCAGGGCGCTCCGCGGGCTCTTGGTGGGACACTCAGGAGCATGTCCCGGGAAGGGGAGGCCAGCCTGCGGAGGCCCAAGCCCCTGGCTCACCCCACCCACACTTGTACGCAGCTGAGCCTGGCAGTCCCACGCAGGCCCTCTTCCTGTGGTGACAGCAGCGTCCTCTCGAGGCCTGTCTGAAAGCAGCCATGGCCTGCGGGGCATGGGCAGACCCCAGGGGGTCTGCCCACACATGTGGCCCGGCCCGCAGGGAGCGCTGGGGTGTGGGGGGCCGGCTCACAAAGGGGGGGTCGGCGCTGGCCGGGATTTCAGGCACAGTCTGGGCCTGGCCAAGGCCCCGGTGTTGACACAGAGGCCCCAGGATCCCATGATGGGGGGGGGGGGCTGGGGCTGGACCCCGCAGGCAGGCGGATGGAAAGGTGTTTCTGAGGCGCTTTGACAGGCCTCAGAGGCCTGTGACTTGGAGGCCAGTGAAGCCCGGGGCAGGAGGCCATGTGGGTTTGGGCTGGAAGGAAAAGGTTAGAGGGGGTCCAGGTGGGGCCGTGGGATGGATGGCCCTCCGGCTCTGGGCGGAGGGGCCAGGGCTGGTGGGCAGGGCCACGGCCCTGCGCCCCCCTAGGCGGTGAGCGGAGGGGCTTGCTCCCCCAAAGCCCGCCCCCAGGGGCCGGCAGAGCAGAGAGGAAGAGAGCTGGTTTAACACGATGGCTGTTTACATTGGCCCCAGAGAAAAGGGGCTTCTTCCAACAGATTCCAAAGCCCTTGCGGGTCAGCGGCCATGCGGGAAGTAAAGCAAGATTTCAGAACTGGGGGCAGAGCAGGAGGAGGCAGAAGGTGGGGGTGGAGACAAACATGAGGGCCCCCACAGCAAGGTCAGGTTTCGGAGAGGAAGCCCCCAGAGAGGGAGCGGGAGGCCCACGAAGGGAAGGGGGGGGGATGGGAGGCTCAGAGGCCAGAGGGTGGGGGACAAGGGGCATAATGGCCAAGAAGGGTGGGCAGAAGGGCCGCACCTCCCCCTCCCCACCCCCACCCCCCAGGCTGGGGACTCAGCCGTCTTTGTCCACGTTCTCACAGACCTGCTGGGGTTTACACACACGCACCATGCACACGCATGTGCAAATCGCATGTAGGCACCATGGCGCACTTGTGCACATGTCAGTTTGTGCTGCTTGAGATCACATCTGTCCGCACACGCATGCACACACACATGCACACACACATGGTGCCGAGTACAAGCCAAGTGCACACGGTACTCCTGGTCATAAACACACATGGACAGACAGGAAGCCAAATAGCACACACGTGCACACGCCCATCCCGCATGCCACACACATGGGCACGTGTGCCCTCTCTCGTGCACGCGTGTGCACACATCTCACCACCCTCCCCTGGGGTTTCACAAGAGGCTGTTTACACAACTTCTAGTAAAGAAATCATTATTATAATCACATTAAGCAAGTTGGCTGTAAAATTCCTGCGAAGGCATAGTTGTTCTGGGGGTGGGTGGGCGGGGGCAGCTGGCCGGGCTGGCCTGTGTTTGTTTTGCTTCTTTTCATCTCCTCTGCTCTGGAAAGCAGAGCAGCTCCTCTCTTGATGGATGGGCCCTCTCCCTGGTCCTTGACCTTCTCTGTGGATTTCTGCTGAGCTCGGCGGAAAAATGCTGGCACAGTTGTGGCTCCCACATGTGGGGGGTGGATGGGGAGCAGAGGGGAGGCCAGGCCCTCCCAAAACAGAGCAACAACAACAGCGGGTGGGCTCCAGAGCCTGGACAACGCCCCACGCGCACACGCCACAGGGGGCAGCAGCGACTTCCCCAGCCTTCTCCTGAGCCCCTGCCCCCCGCAGGCCCCCCCGCCCCCCTGCCCCCACCCGCCTGCATGCCCAGCCCCTGCATGCCCAGCCCCTGCCCCCACCCCCCCACAGGCCCAGCCCCTGCCCCACCCCCCCTGCAGGCCCAGCCCCTGCCCCCCCCCCCGCAGGCCCCCGCCCCTGCCCCCACCCCCCCAGCATGCCCCACCCCTGCCCCCACACCCCCACATGCCCCGCCCCTGCCCCCCACAGGCCCAGCCCCCTGCCCCCCCCCCCCCGCAGGCCCCAGCCCCTGCCCCACACCCCCCCCCCCGCATGCCCCACCCCTGCCCCACCCCCCCCGCAGGCCCCGCCCCTGCCCCCACCCCCCCCACATGCCCAGCCCCTGCCCCCACCCCCCCCCCGCATGCCCCGCCCCTGCCCCCATCCCCCCCCCGCAGGCCCAGCCCCCCTGCCCCCATCCCCCTGCAGGCCCAGCCCCTGCCCCCCCCCCCCCGCAGGCCCAGCCCCCTGCCCCCCCACCCCCCCGCATGCCCCGCCCCTGCCCCCCCCGCAGGCCCAGCCCCTGCCCCCCCCCCCCCCCCGCAGGCCCAGCCCCTGCCCCCCATCCCCCCGCAGAGCCCAGCCCCTGCCCCCATCCCCCCCGCAGGCCCAGCCCCTGCCCCCCACCCCCCCCCCCCGCAGGCCCAGCCCCTGCCCCCACCCCCCCCGCATGCCCAGCCCCTGCCCCCCCACCCCCCCACATGCCCAGCCCCTGCCCCCCCACCCCCCCACATGCCCAGCCCCTGCCCCCCCCCCGCATGCCCAGCCCCTGCCCCCACCCCCCGCATGCCCCACCCCTACCCCCACCCCGCACATGCCCAGCCCCCTGCCCCCACCCCACGCATGCCCAGGCCCCCTGCCCCCCCACCCCCCCCCGCAGGCCCAGCCCCTGCCCCCCCCCCGCAGGCCCAGCCCCTGCCCCCACCCCCCCACATGCCCAGCCCCTGCCCCCACCCCCCACATGCCCAGCCCCTGCCCCCACCCCCCACATGCCCAGCCCCTGCCCCCACCCCCCCGCATGCCCAGCCCCTGCCCCTACCCCCCGCATGCCCCACCCCTACCCCCCACCCCGCACATGCCCAGCCCCTGCCCCCCACCCCCCCCGCATGCCCAGCCCCCTGCCCCCACTCCCCCACAGGCCCAGCCCCTGCCCCCCACCCCCCCCACATGCCCAGCCCCCACCCCCCCGCATGCCCAGCCCCTGCCCCCCACCCCCCGCATGCCCAGCCCCTGCCCCCCCACCCCCCCGCATGCCCAGCCCCTGCCCCCCCCGCATGCCCAGCCCCTGCCCCCCACCCCCCCCGCATGCCCAGCCCCTCCCCCCACCCCCCCGCATGCCCAGCCCCTGCCCCCCCGCATGCCCAGCCCCTGCCCCCCCCACATGCCCAGCCCCTGCCCCCCCCGCATGCCCAGCCCCTGCCCCCCACCCCCCCGCATGCCCAGCCCCTGCCCCCCACCCCCCCACATGCCCAGCCCCTGCCCCCCCCGCATGCCCAGCCCCTGCCCCCCACCCCCCCCACATGCCCAGCCCCCTGCCCCCCCACATGCCCAGCTACAGCAGAGCTGACCCCAGCTGTCCAGTCAGGGCCGTGGCCCCAGACTGGGAGCCCCTGCTGGC